TGAATACTACCTCTGTTTTAAACATGTATCTATAATAATATAATAATTTTAAATTGAATGCCAAATGCCCCATCAGATAGGCATCTAATTCTGGCTTTACAAAAACATTCTCTAATATCCAGACTAGTGTATTTATAGCTAAATACTAAATAGTAACTACTGACACTTGACACTCGACACTGAAATAGTGTATAGTACCTAAGTAGGTAATTATAAACGGTTCGTCTAAACTAAAACTGAATGATACGATTATATACATATATTATTATATTAACATATATAGATTACCTGTGTATTGTAGGGATATACCTACATATACAATATACGGGTTCCAAAATGAAATTTTATTTATAGCAATGTTTAATTTTTCAAGTTCAAGTCTTCTCTTTCCCAATTATTTCTCGTAAGACAAATTAAATTGATAGGATTGTCTGACATTCGCAAAATTATTATAATAGCAATCTTAATACTTGGTTTAATTTTCCCAACTTTCTAAAGCTGCTCTAAGTTTGAATGATCGGTGTCGTCTTTTGAATTATTTGCATACAAAATTTAAAGGCCTAATTTATTAAAATTAGAGGATAACTATACTCCTGGTTTCTTATAAAACAAACGTAGTTAGTAAACCAAACATGCGAAGTCGCAATCCCCTTGGCATAGGACAGTTTAGATTCTTATTTAACTTTAAATAGCTTTTGGTCCCCACAATAAGTAATCTACGTGCTAAGCTACCGAAACACCGGAGATTGAAGGTATAGACGACCGAGAAACTTCGACAAAGAGTAATGAACTGGTACTCTTGTTGATTTACCTCGAAATGTCTTTCTTTTAATATGCAGAACCACCAAGAAAATCCTAATTAATATTACTCACATTATTCAGAAGTTTTGTGATTAAATAGGTCTTGATCGCCTATAAAAGTTCAATGACTATTTAAAATGTCTTTTCTAAGTAATTGGAATGGCAAACAATATGACGACCCCTCTGAACTCATGAACTGTATACATGAAGTGCACCGTGGTCATCACGTTGTAATGTAACACATGTAATATCTATAAAGGTTAAAAAGTAAGCTTCTTGGCGGATGAAATACTTTTTACAGTCAACTTTGACGTTAATTTACATTCGTATTTATAAAACTGATGTTCTGTTCTTTTTAAAGTCTAAAACTACTAACATTAGGGGCTACAGGGGATTCGCCGCAGTAGTAGAGTGCACTAGATGGCTTACTAAAACTCCTCATGTGCATACATAGAGTGCTTGCCGAGCCGATATTACCCCCTTCCCAACTGCTCTTATATTGCCCCTGATTATAGTGTCGTGTGTAGGCCGTTTTAAAGATAGGTGTTAAAGGCTTGGTCGCCAGGCAAAACAGCAAATACCGTTAGTGACATTTATAAAAAAATAACTAATAATAATTTATTAATACACTACATTTGCGAAATCTATGATTCTTAAGTATCTGTAAGTAAATATAATTAACTACTGTGTAATAATACGCTTCTAATTTGAATCATATACTGGTAATAAGATTAATTTCAAAGATATCCGACACGTTAATGGATTTAACACATTTGCCATGGTGACAGGAAGTACAGCTAATCGACGCTAATACTCCATTAAAATATTCATGTATTATCGTCAAACTATATACATTGTAATTCATTGGTTAGCAATTTAATAATAAAAATTGAGATCTAGAGAGAGAATAGATCATTGAGATTATTTCTCAAAGAAAGTTTATTTATGTTCTTATTTAATATTAATTAATACATACATAGTTAAATTAATAAAATAGATGCAAAACGTTAATCTGAATAAAGTCGTTGATATGTTGTGATTAAAAAACAGTTATTTTCAAAAAGTTTCAGGTATGTATTTTATACTATTTTATAATCTATATTAATAATTCCGTCACGGGGGTTCACGTCACCCCGTGACGGTAGACTCGAACGAAATCTTATGTGAATAACAAAACATAAAAAATATTGATTTCGAGTCGACAACATATATCCGCCTAATTCGGATTATGGAGTATTTCGTTAAATTCTAATGACACTGGCAAACAAACCGCAGTCGCCATCTTTTCATTTCGCTAGCATTTTCTTCGGTCGTTGACGTTTCGTGAAAATATTGTTTTTGACACTTTTTTCTGATAAAAGAGTATGAGTTTTTTCTTTAAATCTGAAATTGGCCGATTGCGAGACAAATTTGGCAATTTTTTTTTATTAGTTTGTTTTAGGGCTCTGGGTACAAGCCTAACTTAAAATTTACAAAAAAATAAAAATTATTTACTTTTGCACTTTTTATTTACTATATTTATTAAACACAATGAACGAAGCTTTACAAATCTATGCCTTGCTTACTTTTAATATTCCATGAGAACCGATGACTACAGAAATATCTACCCACATTTCACCCGAGCGAAGCTGGGTTTTCATCTAGTTAAATAAATAAAATAGATACTAACAATTAGCGCTATAAAGACATTTATGTAATTATACATCGTAAAACTATGTATATTTGTAAATAAACATCCCTAGGAAGATATCTATTTCATATGTTTTCGTAAACAACTCATTCTGGACACATAGCTATATAATTTACAAGTAGCACGGTAGCGATATTCGATTGAACTATAACTATTGGCAATCACCAAAACGAAGTTGTTATCTCGGAGGCTCCCACGTTTTGTTGAATTAGTAAGAGGGTACAGACAAATGGCCATGTAAGAAACAGAACGATCTTCAATTCTCTCAGAAAGCGATAGTGCTCCACTAGTTACAATAATAAATAGGAGCTTAACGCTAGCAAATGGCCGATTAGGGCATTCTTGACTACAACACGAGCATTCTGATAAAGTTAGCGTTTGCTTTGTAACGAGTCTCGTGAGTTTTATGAGAAACAAACTAAACTAACATATACTTTTCGTCAAAACAATCATTGACATGGTTTATTTTCATGTTTCCATTATTTTATCGAATACAATTCAGTTCGTATCGATCGAATACAATTCCTTAATTGTTTTATTAATTAAGAGCTTATTGCATCAAATACATAACACAAGAATTACCTATACTTAACGGTCTTATCGGTCCGACAATACGTATGTTTCAAACAAAGTTTTAGTACCTAGATGAAAAATACACAGTTATTGGTGGCGCATGAATTTAATAATAAAAAAATAGGTATGATAGTGTTAGTAATCCTATATGCCTGTCTGTAACCGTACATTATGTTGCAGCACCAATCTATAACTATAGTATTTTGATCACACGCAATTTGAAATAAATGACAGAAAACATGACATATCTTCTTAATTACCGTCTCTCACTAAATGGAATATTCTAAACTAACAAAGTCATAGTAAATTATAAATTAGTCAACTTGGAGTTCGTTACCGTAAAATGAAACGAATCCCCACAGGGATCAAACCTGAAACCTCCACTTAGCCAGTTGCGCTCTACCAAAGGTTCTATCAATAAGTAACAAGTTCCAATTACATCTAAATGTGTCAAACAACCGAGAATACATTGTTTTTTGTTTTGTCACTACCAGCACAGCCTATATCAATTTGTTTAAAAATATGCTATATATAGCATATTTTTAAACAAGATTATGATCTAAATATCTATTTTCAATTGAATTAGTATAATAAATAAATAAATAAAAATAAAATAGTCATTCATGAGTAAAAGTTGATGAAACATCCATGCTCTAATCTAAATATTCATCCTCACAAACATTTATACTATGAGTAGAATTTCTTTATAATGTAATATAATTCGAGACAATATTATTTATTGTTCTAGTAAAAGACAGTATAACAACAATTAAGCACCGACTATGATTTCAACGAAATATGACTAAAGCATGCAACGTCTTTTAATGTCACCGATTTAAAAAGTTTTGTATGTCTGTCTGATAAATGAGTAATATATACAAATCTGCTTAATGGTTTTAAAAGAATCCGGAATCAGGTATTTTTAATATGATTTGAGAAAAGTAAATAGGCAAACTAAATTTTATTTATCAAATGTAATAATTAGAAATAAGTAAAACGTTTATTAACAAAATTTGCTCTGCTCATTTGCCGAGATTCTCTCCATTAGACCTTCCATTAAGCACAATTGAAGAAATTAAAAGCTTATGGTTTAATTAAGTTAATTTCTAAGTCCATTCTGACTTCATCACACTCAATACTAAGTAGGCATGATCTTTAATTATTTTTCCACTTTACGGCCTTTTCCTGTGTAGGTAAAAAAACCCGAGCGATATTTGTATTGAACTATACTTAATTTGTCATATTACATACACTATTATGACAATACTGTGAATCTCTAGAAGCAATACTGTGATTGATATCTACGAATAATATGTTAGATACCTTTGTGAATTCAATGATACAAATGATTTACATTCTTTATTCTTATTCCAAATAATAGACACATTATTATATTCATGTATCTCCAATCTATATTGTATGTGTTCAATAGTTACTTTGTATCGTCAACCATTAAAAGAACAAAATGGTATGGAGGGCCAAAGTACACATATTTTTTTAATGATCCTATATAAGCATTTAGGTGCGATGTCGTTTGATATTAAGGGAATATAATCTAACATGTAGCCTCTGATCTAGGAAATGTGTGTGTGTGAATAGCTAGAGTGTATGTATTTGAAGACATACACTTAATGTCGTCTTAATGTCGACGACGAAATAACACTTAACAAAGAAATTAATTTAAAAATCTTAGAGATAAAACCATTGTCAGAAAGTACCAGAATTTTCTAATTATCTTCAATAAAAATTACCTAACAAAAATTTGTAATTAGTAAGTAAATATAAAAAATAAGCAATCTCTATAGATGACGTTTTCCTTTTATAATATAACGATACGGAAGTTGGGGTGGTTGTTCATTTAGAATCCTATTCGACGAACTGTAGATACACAATTACATTTTATTTATAAGTAATTTACAGAAAACCAACAACAATCATGAAGGATACAAGAGTAAAAGAAAAGAAAGCATTCAAGACGAAACGTGATAATTACGCAAGGAAGTTGAAGAGAAAGAAACTAATCAACTATTTAGGAAGCGAATTACGGAGTTGTAGTACGCACGGTCTGCCTTATATTGTAAACACGAATACACATTGGTTTGAGAAGTAGGTATCTAATGAAATATTATTTTAGTGTTTGTACAAATCAAATCGACTACACATCTAACCTAATATTATAAATAAAATAGGCTCCGAAACTGGATCAATTTAAAAAATATTTTGCTAGTAGAATCCTATCCTACCGAATTTTAATAATGTAAATGTATATGTTATAGATCCGTAAGCAAACTTCGACAATGTAAGCCAACTTTCGAATAAAATATACATAGTTATATGTACGCTGCAGAAATTATTGACAATATCAAAGGGTATATATGTGTGTGTGTGTGTGTTAAGTCAGAATTTTTGAAATGTGTTGTGTTAAATACTCGTGGTGGCAAGTGTAGTAGGTATATAGGAATGATAATATACATACCGTCTATTATTTTTAAGTAAAACATACTGTTATGTTTGTGTAGAGTGTTTGATTGAAATCTTAACCAAAACTCTAGTACCTTTTGCTATAACGACACCAGACAATATACCAATGTGTTGTCTGAAGACTTTTCTTAACTACTAACGGAATCATTGCTTGATATATTACATAAATGTGTTAAACTGACACATTTTATTTATAGTCTTGTTCTATAGCACTCAGGTTTTAAGTAGATTATTAGTAATAATATCCATTCAGGACTGTTATTCCAGATAGGGTGGATTAAATTATCTAAGTATATATTGATTTAAAAATTGGATACGATCGTCTACCTGTTTTGTAAAAAATATTAATAATAGGTTGCACATGAAGCAGGAATAATATAATAAATAAGCAGGAATAAGAATAAGAATAGGCTGAAATATGAATAAGCAACTATGGCGATGGTGCTCAGTTATTTTCGCTGTGGACATGTAATTTTGAGCTTTCGTTACTAATAACAGGTAATAAATAAATAACATATCCGCAGGGTAATCTGGACTGCCAGTTTCGCATGCTGTCTTGGTTTGGCATCCTCTTTGCTTTTATCTCAATATACACGATACATTGTAAGTATTTTCAGATATAAACAAACTTGGTAAATCTCCTTAAATACCAGAGAGTGAGAAAAAAATAGAATATGTAAAAAGTCTACGGTAATCGTTGTCCATCAAAGAGTTTTGTTTGCCGCCATCCTAGCGTAAAAAAAGACACGTCAGTCTCATCTACCAGTCACTGGTAACTTTCTTTATAAAAGTATATTTCAATTTGAAAAATATGGCAGTGAAGCTTAGTGCTCATAAACGCATGATGCTAAAGATGGACAGTCTCTCTTTTTTGTGAATACATATGTAGATTGACAACGCCAGAGTAATATATAAGTAGTTGCTATTTATAAATTGAAGGCATACTATCATCAGGCGTGCGCTATGCTTACAAAAAGTATAACAATTAAGTGTCGGTAGTGTGATTGGTGATATAAAAGAAAAATAAATATTTAAACTATGTAAAATTAGACAGACGTTTGCGTTACCAAAAAGTAATGTTATAACTAACTTAAAACGACCATATAGATGCCTATGCTACGTCCAACATATTGTGCTGGTAGAAGGGTTTAGCCCACAAAGATACGTGTTAATGGTATTATTTTCAGAATGCTCCTACTGTCATGAGTGTGGAGAAGGACTATTTCAATTGGAATATTTCCTATCCAGCCATAACAATATGTCCATTGGAGAAAATAGATGAAGAGGACTTAAGCACACTAGTGAAGTAAGTGCCCATAGCCCATATATGAACAATTTGCAAAGCTACTAAACTTAATTTTGTTAGGGAATTGTCAGTAATGAGGATTAGTGACCCTGCATGTATGTCAAGTTTACCTCCATGCAGTTCCTCCAAACCAAACCATCGTAGTTAAATTCTGGTGAAAACGTCGATAGGCTAAATGATCCGAATTCATGTTCATGCTATCATGCACCAGGTGATGCACCATTCCATTATCTACAAAAAAACTTAGTGTATTCTTCTTTTTAGCGAAACGCTGGAAAGTGTTGGAGAAGATATAACTTTACAATTAAGAGCAATTGTTTCATTATCGTTAGACTCAATAGAATTATTAAGCGCGGACGTTTCAAATCATTCTAAGGTATGTAACGTTTAAACAATTTTTCTAGCGTAAATTTGTTATGGAGTTTTAGATTTCATACAAATGAAACTCATTTAACAAAAAAACACTGTAAAGAGAAACTTCCTTCTGCTGTTCTAATCCACATACCAGTTCACATGAGCCACGAAGTAAGTTAAGCGATCCCAATCGCCAAATATGATGCACAAGACCACTATGCATTTTCCACGCAAAACGAAGTCGCAAAAATATAAAAATAAATTATATTCGCACGCCGCTAAGGCGCTGTCGGCAATTATTAATAAGTAGGTACTACTTTATCACCAACTTTACTTAACGTCATCGACAGTAAAGTATCCATTTCTCTTAGCCATCATGGCTATAACATCTAAACACTTTCTGTAACTCAATTTTCTTCCCTAGTAGTTATTTTTCTTATTCTTAGTTTCCATATTACAAGTCATCTTACTTACAGAATGAGGATATAGATATCTAAGTGTCATTAGGTAATTTTTACTATAACAATTTGTAGAAACTCATATATTCAAACGACTACATGGAAATAATAACTGCTATAAGTAAAAAAGTAAATAACGACTCCATAACCACGAATACCAACTGGCCTATATCAATGGAATCGTCCATGACAGAAATGGGAATATGCCATGTCATCAACTCGAATGTTGCTGTATTCGACAACCCTCTGTAAGTAAAACGTTTGCATGTTGCAAACGTATCGTAAAAACTTCACATTAGCACAGTATGGTTCATTATGATATTTAAGGATTTTCAATTATGTTTCTTGAGACACCTGATATCTATTTAGAAATTTACCATTACATAACGACTTTACAAAAATATACCAGATTATATACAAATGTACCTAACATATGATATAAATATCATGTGGATGTAGATAACTGTGTCAAGTATCTAGAATATGTGTGTGAGAATCTGAGTAGAGATAGAGTAAGAGATATATTACGAGTACATTTGGGGGAGCTGACGTAAGGACTTAATAATATAAATAGTAAGGGCCTTACGGCTTTTGGGCTTATGGACTTACAAAAAACTATAGTTTTGTTTAGCAATACCAGAAGGGGAAATATTTTTTTAGAAATTACCTATATCTACCTATTTATAGAATTTAGTTCAATTAGTAGTTAAGCTATGTCATTAGTAATCGGCAAGCACGCAGAATACCTACTTACATGAAAAACACGAAAACGGCGGTAATAACATGTAATTTTATAATTTACAGCCTACGAAAAAACAACTTAGAATATGTTAAAAAAAACATTGATCTCTCCATATACGACAGAGATTTCTTTATTCAAATTTCTGATTATGCTAACGTCTACAAGGTATGTTTCATCTACATTTATAAATATTATGTAATATCGCGCTTTTGTTTTTGCGTTGAGATAGACGTAGGTATGTGTACATACATCTAGAGGTACAAACAAATTGACAATTTTATTTTGTAATGAGGGAGGGAGATTTCAATAACTAACAAAGACAATAACTATAATCTCACTATGTATCTTAAAAATTTTGTTTATACCTATGCACATATCGCTTGCATTACGTCACATGTTTACTCCTATGTTCAAATTTTGTACATAGGTTTACATACATCATCCTGATGAGATTGCTACAAGTACAACGCCATCATATATTGTTAACAATGAAGGTTTTACATATTTTGGAGTACAAGTGCGCAGCACCAGAGCTTCCTCTAAACTGCGAGATATACCCTTAAGCTACCGAAATTGCAGGTAAACACAACTGAATTTTAATGGTATCTATTAATTTTACGTTTAAGGACATTTTAATATTCATTTAACTTACAGATTTTTTGACGAACCAGTAGGCGAAAGGTACCCTGTATATTCCTACAATCACTGTATGTTAGAATGCAGAATTCAAATGATAATAAAACTCTGCGGTTGTGTACCGCATTTCTATAAATATATGGGTAAGTTGATAATAACTTATGATATTATTACTAAAAATAAAGAATAGTTTTAATTAGTTTTATGAACAAATGTATACATTAGTTTTGAATGAAATGCCGATCGATTAGCATGTTTACTTACTCTTTTTGTGAAATTGCAATGACCCTTATTCTCAAGTACTGCGCATGACATAACCTAGTGGGTTACTACCCCAACTTAAATCCCAATGTCGCAAGTTCGTATATGGTCTTACACAAAACCCATTTAAATTTCTGATTAACTCTTCGGCGATCGACTTTATTATATTACCAACTACTAGATACCCATGACCTATTTAGTAAGAAAATTTATTACTGAACGTAATCTTATTTTCCTAATATTATTAGAAAGTTTGTGAGTATGGATGGATGGATGTTTGTTACTCTTTCACACAAAAACTACTGAACGAATTTTTATGAAACTTTACAGTAATGTAGCTTATACATCAGAATAATACATGGGCTATAAAGATATTATGTAAATTAAATAAGTGTGATGCAGACTAAGTTGCGCGGGTCAGCTAGTAGATCAATAATAAAAAGAAGACACCTCAAAACTTTATAGAAGTATTATAAATACTATTATTATTATTATTAAAGAATTTATGTAAACCAAAAACAAAGTTATAACAATAACATATTAAACGTAAACAACTACATTAGTTTACAAAAAACTGTGTTGCAGCTATTTGCGCCCATCTCCAGAGCATTGTATACAATTTAAATAAAAACAAATGAAAATAAATGAATATTACTCCTTAAGAACATTTAGAGAAAGACAAAGTATATATATGTGTGTGTGTGTGTGCGTGTGCGTGTGCGTGTGCGTGTGCGTGTGCGTGTGCGTGTGCGTGTGCGTGTGCGTGTGCGTGTGCGTGTGCGTGTGCGTGTGCGTGTGCGTGTGCGTGTGCGTGTGCGTGTGTGTGTGTGTGTGTGTGTGTGTGTGTGTGTGTGTGTGTGTGTGTGTGTGTGTGTGTGTGTGTGTGTGTGTGTGTGTGTCTGTGTCTGTGTGTGTTTATTGCACCTCTGTATGCGTTTTATATATACTATACGCTATTGAAATTTTAATAACCAAAATGTTAGTAAGCTATATCTCTTTTTTAACTGAATTTGATAGTTACTTTTACGAGGAAATTGTATGCTCAAAACTATATAATGTATGTAATTGTTATTAATATATATTTTTTATGTGCAGATAATGAGAAAATATGTGAACTCTCTGATCTCAAATGTATTATAGACTATAAAACTGAAATCATAAAACTGTCTACGTCCAAAGAGACTTGGGATGTATTTATAAATAAAAATGGACTTCCTAGATCGCCACGTGACTGCGGTTGTCTCGATAATTGTGAAAAAGATGTTTATCTAAAAGAACAAGAAACATACATAAGCCAAGGTGACTCAAGATTAAGAATTGGTGTATCTTCCTTTCCGAAAGTCCGAGTTGTAAGGGAAATAATATTCAGCGTGTATGACATGATCTGTAAGTATATGTATATATGTACTTTAATATAAATCAGTAGAAAATCAAGCAGAATCATTAATTTTGTTATTGAGTGGACGTAACCAGAATTCTTAAATTTAGGTATGTGTACTTAGACCTTATCGTGTGTAAAGCCAGACTTATAAAGGTGCAGACTCACGACATAAAGCAACAAAAAATATAAGATTGATCCATACCTCTTAAGCATCTCTTATAATTTTATTGATGTTTACGAAATTAGAAAGAAATATTTATTTAATGCAGCTTTGTGGCAACTCTTAGAGTACGACATACATACGTACCTGGTCATTACAAATCTTAATAAATATAATTTTACCAAAATGTTTTTATTTATATCGGTATGGCAATTGTGTACCACGTAATTTCAGTGCTATAATACTTCATCCTTTAACCGAAACACAACATGTTGCTTGGAAGATGAAATTGGTGAGACAGAGGTCACAGCAAAGAACGCCGAGACTCATGCAAATTATGTAAGTACCTAAAAACTAATTCAATCAACACTTGTTACAGTGAGGAGTGGCGGAGTCATAAATCTGTGTTTAGGCACATCCATAATTTCCGTAATGGAGCTATTAATAATAGCAATAAAACTAGTGATTAAACTACCACAACTTATAATATAGAATTAATACCACTGAATGGATGAAACTGAACAAAAGTAATAATCTATACATATAAATAAAATTAGTGTCTGTTTGTAATATCAAAATAACTGTTTCTAACAAGGTGCATATCAGGAATGTTATGGATATGAAATTTCGGATACGGATTGGTTTCGGATATAGGAATGATTATTATACTGGATACGGATGCAAATATGAAATTATTTCGGATTATCCGTTAGTTTCGGATAATTTCGGTTACGGATATTTTTTTAAGGAATTTCAAAAGTAAAATACAAATAGTTAATAAAATGGTTACATAACGTGTCTCAATAAGGCTCCGCCCCTATTCCATACTATCCGAAACTTTTATTTCGGATTCGGTTACGGTGACGGATATTTTTTTATCCGATAGTAGTATAGTATAGTATAGTATAGTAGATATCCGATAGTTTCGGTTACAGTTACGGACGGTTCCCTAACATCCCTGGTGCATATGAATATAAAAACGGTACATACACCAAAATAACATTTTTTACCATTTTCGTCTGTCTGTTTGTTCCCGCTAATCTCTGAAATGGCTGGACCGAATTGGCATATAGCGGATGTAACAAGGAGTAATTTAGGCTACTTATATTTTAGAAATTTTCTTTTATTTTAGAACAATAAAGTTAAATTCCACGTGGATGTAATCGAGGGTACAGTTAGTCAGAAATAAATACAGGACTTAGTACATAAACTTTATTCGATATTTACAGATATTTTGATTAAAATTATTATTATCACTTTACAGTTTTATTTGCATACGTGCAACCACTATGTTAATACCTGAAATAAAAATATATATTAGTTGATAGTAAAAATAATCGAAATGATAATATAGAATTAGTCTGTTTATTATCTAACCAATAGACTTTCTTCACATACCTAAGTATTACGATGGTATAGTTAACACATTACTGATTATCTCGATTCTAAAATGAAAATAAATAAAATTATTCACAAAATACGAGTATGAACAAACAACGCATAAATTAATTATAAACAAGCCAATTAACCTGTTTAATCCGCATCGACCTCTTGTAATATTATTCCAAAACTGAATTAGAAAATACGACAAATTTCCATATCTTCAGAAATGTTATTGTCTTATTTCATTTGTCTTCAAAGTTTCCCAGTGTCCTGAAATTCATATTGAGAACATTAAGACCGAGTAATATGTAAAAATTAAGTGTATTTATCTCATGGTAACAGTATAATACCAGAGAAACTGTTGGTAAACCTAATAGTTCACAACACAAAGTCTGATGATAATCTTAATGAACTACTTGGAAGTAGACAGTGGTCATATGCAGAACATAACCATAAATAAATCGACGCTAAAACTCTTCCAATCGCCATTGCGGTCTCAAAGTACAATTCTATAAAAAAAACGGTGTTCAGTTGGATGACCACGCACTTTCAAGATTCATATCGTGTATATGAAACCATATAATAATAATACAAATAAATACTAAACAACAGGTTTCAAGTCATTGTTCCATCCACATGAAACTAATAACCACCGAAAACCCCATGCAACCCAACAAAACAAAAAAATCCGTTCGATGACAGGGAAACTTACCATAAAAATCGATATCTTTTCATACACACATCGTAGCAAGTGAAGTCATCATTGAGCGAATTTGGATCTTCAAAAGACACCTTCTTCCAACGACGATTAGTTGTCATTTCCTAACTTTATCAAATCTTATAGAAATGAATCGGGAAATGCTTTACCAAAACGATATGTGGGGCACCGACGCCGATCATTGTTTGAAGTTTAAATTGGTATGCAATTACAGTTATCAAGCGACGAAACTTCCTTAACCTTCTAGTTTGTAACACCACAAAATTTCATTACGTTTTACGATACGCATATATCTGTAAACCCATTATGCACACGTATATGTACATATACGTAACTATAGACAGACACTGACTTAAATCTGGATCAATAACAAAATGAGAATGAATATAATTCATACAATTCAACGGCATTTCTGCCTTCCTTAAGTTGAGTTTTAAAAGTACGCCTTCGTAGATTAAAATCAAAAATCAAAAGATCGCTCCGCATAACTATTACTATTAGTACACATAGTGACAGAGAGTAATGTATTTTCGTTTATTGTTGGTGATATAAAGCAATTCAGAAAGACTATTTTTATACGAATTACCAATTTTTGTCAATAAGTAACCTGTAGTATCAACAGCACAACACCCTAAAATGTCAACACATATCTCAGAATAAATTCCCGTCGAATTTATGTCTTATGACCACAACGCCTTTCAGGGTTAATTTCAATAAAAATAACATCTTTCACATGATCTAATCGAACTTCAAAAACCTTTTTAATCTTCTTTAATAAAATTTATTATGTTTAATCATTACACCTAATACAGCAATCATCAAGACAATTACACTAAATGAAATTAAAATACAAGTTTTTATTTCATAAGATTACATCAATGTCAACCAAAGTGGATACTTTCTAACAAACAAGAATTGAAACGAAGATTTAACTAAGCCGCATCCGAGTTTTATACAAACCCCACAACAGATTGACTTCAATATGACATATTCCTGAAAAAACAAAAATATACAATTCACTTTAGAACTATGGACAACTATACCAAAGATATGCGTTAATGTATTATTTATGACCAAATGAGTTATGAGTAGATTTTTCAATATAAAGGTTACTAATCTGGATTTATGGAAGATTACTATTTCCGGTATTTCAATCTGATTTTGATTTTGATGCCTAATCAGAAGTGTATACGCAAGAGAACTTAATAAAAGTTCCATAGTCATATCAATCTTTTCTTAAAAATACTTTCTTTCGAAAATTATTTTGTAAAAATATTTAGATCAAATAGCTAAATATTTTTATATAATAATTTACTGACAAATAAGCGATCCCAACGCCAATATAAACAACAAAATATACAAAACAAATGAGATTGACAGTTTTTAGTTTTTTATTGTTCCGATTAGATATTACTAAATAAAAATCCATCGATACTATTAAGATATATATTGCATTAACGACCAGTTCGCATACATACACAATACATTCATTCTTACAATAACGTCCACCTTCATAACTCAGAAAAATTAATACACCCTATAAGGTGATAAAATAAAAATCGAAGCACTGTTTTGGATAAAATCAATGTATGACATAACTTCATTGTATGTGCTGTTGGCTGGCGCTTAGTTACTATGGGTTACGGAGCAGTGAAAAATACCGACACTGATCTATATAAAAATTCTTTTGATCGCAAATTTCATATCAAGATTGTCAGCACTTTATAAACAAATACCTTATTTCAATTCATTAGAAATTCAGATAAAAATTGTTATATCCTCTGTTAAGTACTTCTTTTGTGTATAAAACTATACAAGTGTGATGACCATCATTCGAACACAAACTTAGACCCTATTACAACACTGGCAATATCTATCATAATATATATGTTCAACATATACAATGTATATAGGAAAAATCTACTCATGGCAAAGAATATTATCAAACATCTATTGAAAAAGTCGAAACGAACTCAATCCGCAGAATTTCCGCATATTTGGCAAAACAAAAAAAAACCCATAGATCGCTAACAACATAGATAAACCAACAAAATCTTTAACTTTTCTATAATTGAAACTCACCAACTTAATTTTTCTAAAAGAAACGGACGTCGATGGTTCTGCCATCAATGCGAGTTCTGTCGAACATTTCTGGTTGTTTAAGTTAAAGGATATTGCGAAATATAGATTATAGTATAAAATTCACGTAAATACATGTAAAAAACACAGTACGGAAAGTCTATTGGCGTACTCTTCAATAGAACTTACACAAGAGAAACGAAGAGATTACTAGCTCGTCTAGTGATGGCCAAAATCAGTATGGATCAAATATCAATAATTGTATCAAATAATTAGATTTATAGTTCATAGAAGACATGCGATGACATATAAATTTATCAACAAAGTAATAATCAAAACTACATCTGAAGATAAAGACTATAGTTTATCCTACTATTTGAAAAGGATACTAATGGCTCTCTCTGCATCCCACTCTTTGTGGAAGCGGACAATAGCTGTGTCTGGAGCAGTCATCTCTGCAAATTTCACATCGCCACACTCACTAAACTTCTCACGAATCAGCTGCCAAGTAACCGTCGGTGGCAACTAAAACAGAATAAAAGCACAAGAAATACAATCAACTTTATTTTAAAAGTTTTATATTGTACAACTCACTAACAAATCGAATAATACAAAATTTTTTATCATGACCTTCATGGTGACTATACTCACTACTATACCGGTAACACTTAGCAATGAAATGACAAGGTCCAGACGTAATATTTTATCTCTGGAATGTTAAGAGTTAAGTGGTAGTGAGGACATCACATGATGTCAATGATACCGTTCATGTGTATAGGCGATTGTTGCGACTTATTTTCAGGTGTCAGTTAGCTTGTTCGTTATTCCAGTTGAATAAAAATAAAATACAATAGAACTAAATATTGAAGTCTAAATAAACTAAATATTGTAGTCTATATTATGCTCTTAATGCGGTATTTCGACCAGATATATTAAGATAATAATCATATAAAGAATTATATCAAAGAAAAATATAGTTTACATACATTTGTGATCATAACCATGTCCGACTGCTTATCTCTGACATTAGACTGCCCAACAGGATCACGACCATATCCTTGGCCACCAACTGATACACCTAACTGCCGATTTGAACCTAAAATAAATATGATTATTAACAACATTATAAGTAGCTACTCATTCGATGATACATTCAATTATAAGTAGATTCTCATCTCGACGTCATGTAGTAGTAGAACATTATATTATACATATAAACCTTCGTCGTAAGGAATTACTCTAGTGATATATGTATACCGCATGAATATTCGTTCAATGGTTTTGTGATTATAGCAAAAAATAAAGACAGACTCGACGAAGAAGTTTCTACATGTCAAATACGGCGTTTAAGGTGTTAAAACACAGAACAAACAAGAAATTAATTTGGATTACACTATTACAAACTCGCGCACAGGCCATTGTTTAAAGAGCTATTTAACTGAAAAGAAATAGGATACAACTAAATATTATTGACCCTTAAATGTGATATATTACAAGTGCAATAAATTGAATTATTTCCTTTTATAATTAAGACTAACGACGTGTCTGTTGAAGTTACTTTTAGTGATGGATAGACATAGTTTACCGACAGGTATATTAATGTAGATTCAAAAATTATGTTAACAAAAATCTTTTTTAAATGTTATTCTTACATTTTGCATGCATATATGCATTAGCAACAATCCCTGCACTTAAATAGTTTATAATTATGAATAGTAAGAATTGTCTGAAGCTTACCTGATAGAGGTCCACTGCCCATAGCAGGGCCACTTCCTAAAACATTATTTGACAGGCCTGGGTTTCCAAGAACATTTCCTCCTAAATCTGCATTTCCTAACCCTAAGTTAGCTGTGTTGACATTTGCTTGTGCTGTCAAAACTGTTGCTAGATCATTAGCAGTTAAGCCTTGCTGCAAAAGTTGGTTTTGGAGAGCACCTAATCCAGTCAAGCCCAAAGCCTGAAATGTTTAAAATTCATTAATATGTTGTATGTAACTCTATCCTAGAACCATAGTTGAAATACATACAAAGAAAATTGTTTTCATATAAATAGTTGGGTTGCAACTGACTACCAAAAAGGCAAGTTCTGAATTATACTATTTTTTTATAATTAATACTTTTTTTTACAATATCAAAATCTATTATATTGATATTTATAATATTCATTTATTATAATTAGAGTTCTGTATGGTGTACCTTTCACACATAACATACACAATAACAGTAACCTACTTACTGAAATATAATAAAAAAAAATACCTGTAATCCTAAGTTGCCACCCAAAGCACTATTAGCATTTAATGTATTTGCTGACAATCCTGTTCCAAGACCATTCAAAGCAACTCCAGCAGCTGGTACAGCACCCAAAACACTTGCACTCAATGTATTATTTGTGTTTGCTAGACTTAAGTTGTTGGGAGTATTACTCTGTGGCAAGTTCCTAGCCACATCTCTCAAAGGTTCTCCATTGGGACCTAAGCCCAAACCAATGCCTTTTAAACCCTCTGGTAATCTAAATTCTGTCTTATCAGATACTCCCCGATCCATACGTACTGTCATCCTTCGCTCATACAACATTTGTTTATCAAACATTGATATTGCCTGTAAACAATACAGATTAAAATAAACATCAGTTAAACCTAATGTATAAAAATCGGCCTTATTACGTTTATAGAATGAACTAAATACTTAAACTAACAGAGGCCATACAAATATGTTGATTAGATAGACATGAAAGCTATGAAGTAGTCCAAATTACATATATAATGGTTAAATAAACAGGAACTATGAATGTCCCTGTGAAAATAGAAGGGAGCATGAATTTTTATTATACAGCTATGCCAAAGTAACATTAGATGTAGATAAAATAAGCTATTTTGCACTAGCTATATTGCACCTGTGAAGAGCTTGGTCTTTGCAATAATCTAGAATGATTTAGTGACTTTATTAAAAGATGGTTCTCGAAATGTGGTGCCTATGGAGAATGCTTTGTATATCTATTACTACACCTCACTAACCATTGCTTCTGTTCTCAAAAAAATGTGTAAATACTATACCTGTACAGCTTCAACAGGATGATCATATTCAATAACAGCAAATCCCCTGCTATTACCATCTTTGTCTACAGCCAGGTCAATATTTCGCACTTTGCCAGCCATTTTAAATACCTCCTTTATTTTAGCTCTGTCAGCTTTATAATCCAGCTGAAATTTAAGGTATATAGGATTACAAGGTTTTTAATATGTATAAATGAAGTGTACATACAAAAACATGAGTGACACATACTTATAGCTTTTGTAATGTTACATTTACCATGAAAGATACATATTAAGACCTCATTAACAATAAAAATAATCTATACATATAAATAAAATTGGAGTGTCTGTTTGTAATATTGTAATAACGGTTTTTTACTACATGAATATAAATACAGTACATACACCAAAATAACATTTTTTACAATTTTTGTCAGTCTGGCTGCTGATGTAATAAGGAGTAACTTAGGCTACTTTTATTATAGAAAAATCGTTTTTTTTTTAGAAAAACAAAATAAATTCCATGCAGACGAAGTCACGGGAACAGCTAGTATGTATAATAATTACAAAAGTTTGAAATTTATCATTATGCATTTTTCTATTGCATATGCACTATATAAAGAACCATCATCGCAACATTGCAGGGGTTCAGTTTTGGCCTCCTAATTATAAAAGGTTTAGGCATAATTTTGTAAAGATTTTTCATAGTTTCATACTTACATTTGCTACAAAAACTTTTTTTACAAGTGGTGGCTGCACACTAATGGAATCCAGAAACTGTAGACTGAGACCATATGTATTAAAATTCTCTGGTTCTCTGGGCTTGTTGATTCCCCATCTGCAAATAAATAAAATCTATACATATTAAAAAACAAGGAAGGAAAAGCATATCTGTCAGTATGTGATGATAATCTAAAATAACTAATATATATAACAGCTGAACATATTACTATCTAGTTTTCAACCATCAAGGAACTGGTTCCTGAGGAAGCTTCATGTGTATAATTTATTAAGGTTTTGTATAAAATGGTCAAAATATAACAATCTTCTTTGAATATGATGGAAAAATGAAGATGATTGATAGCATTCGAAAATACTGAATAATCTATTTGAGATATAATCAAATGTGGGAATATTCCTCTTTTATAGTATTCGAAAAAAGTTTGTAATTATATGTTAGTTTTAGGGACATGTTACTAGACCCAGTCTAACTTTTACATACTGATCACACAATAAGTGGTAAACTTTATTTGGACAGATACAGGGAGAACCATTATCAAATTAAATATCTTAATAATTTTAAAGCATTCCACACATATTCTAAATCTAATTTCGAGTCATGCAGACAGGGCAATCACTTGTTATATGTATAAAGATTTTAAAGTTTAAAGTGATAAAACAACTTTTGTTTTTAAAATTTTGATTGATATCATAACTTCATCACACACTAATGCATCTTTCATTAGCTATAATATGCTGCACCTTCTAGTAATGTGATGATTTTATATATTTTTATTATGACTTTAAATAAAGTTCAGTTACCTATTTAAATAAAAAACTGACTTACCCATCTTTATCTTCCCTGGGATTTCTGCCGCCACCACCACCGCCGCCTCCTGCACCTCCAGATCGCGTAGATATTGACCTATTCCTTTCTGCACCCGCAAATGTGATATTTAATACATTGTTAATTTTTTCAAAACACATTAGAAATATGATAATACAATTATAAAAATGTTTATAAAACCAATGACTAACATTTTAAATGACAATAAGTTATTTCTAATCTGTCTTTACCTGTTTGCTCTTTTAAAACCAGTTTTCTGCCATTTAATTCATATCTGTGCATAACAAAGAGTGCTTTCTTCATTGCTTCACAATTTGTAAATTCAACAACACCACACCCTCTTGGCTTTCCATTTTCATCATTGAATATCTCAACATAAGCTACATCACCAACCTGTAAAAATGTTCATTCATATCCATACTAATATTATAAATGTGAAAGGAACTGTTTGTCTGTCTCACTTTCACACCAAAGCTATGTTAATGTAAATGAAATTTTGTACACATATAGTCTTGATAAAAGATATAGGCTTCTTTTCAATGTGAAAAAAGGGTTGTAAGTGTTGATAACGGAGATGAAGGATATTATGAAAGTATTATTTTTAAAGCTTAAGAAATTTAGAAATCTACATTTTTAGGCTGTTAATTAAACTTAAATAAATATGACATTCAAATTTATAAAAATGTTACCCTTAAGGGGATAAAAGTTTGTCACCTATATATATACACACATACTTATATACATACATATGTATATAAAATATGTGGTTCCCAAATAGTTTTTGCTGTGTATCACTTCAAAAAAGACATCAAAGCTTGCATACCCCTTATTGTAGCAATCATACTAATATTATAAATGTGAAAGTTTGTGAGTGTGTGTGTGTTTTACTGATACCCGCACATAGCCCTTGATGCGACTTCACATATCCCTGTTCACATACCACTCATCGGGAAAAACTGGGCTAATTATAGAATATTTTTTCTTTTTTTAGTGAACATAGAGTATAATATAATTACATGACTAGACTACAAATTAACTTTCAATTTAAATAATTTGTCGTGGGATTGGATAGCGTAGAATATATATGGGAGATAGCTAGGAATAACAAATTTTAATTATACTACTTACAAATAAAATCGATCATGCTGTGAGTTTTTATTTTATGGATACAACTTATTAAAAACTCTGTCAAATTTATTACGGTGACAAGTACTCCAATTGAAAATGAAAGTAAAATTATAAAAATTAACCTTTTCTTTAAACAAATCTTTCAATTCTGTCCAACGAAATTCATAGGGAATGTTAGAAACAAACACTCGTTTTCCATTTGGGTGATCCCGGTCGTTTGAGCGGTCTCGAATTGCATCCGAAAACCGTGAAGGCCTATCGCCGCGTCTAGATCTATCGCGTTCCTTTTCTCTTTGATTATCCATTAGAAATTAACCTACAAAACAAAATGTAGATTCATATTCATTGTTAGTATAAAATTAGGACTTATTATTGATTAAAATTAAATAGAAATTAACATGGATCTTCATATCAATCTCTTTTCATTGCTAATACCGGCATCCAAAAATTTATTTTCAGTTCAAATCTTTATTATAGGTACAATAATAAACAACTTACCGTTTCACAAAGAATTACAGTTACACGATACAATAAGTACACGCAATAAAATTGTGTAAAGCGGTAAAAAAATAAATAATCTGATATAATCAAATAAACGTTTAAATTTATTTGGTTTGGTAGTTTGGTAGAGTACATGCATACAAAATGGCGCGCGTTAGGGATGCTCAATATTAATTTATTGTTATCGATATTTGTTAGACATCGATGTTTCGAACACTGATTCTATTAGCGCCTTAAGAAATAATAACATTGGTAAACCAAGCAACCAAATCAACGAAAACTATGTTCTCCCTAGATCGTGTTTTATTACATTAATATTTATCACACTAGATTAAAGTTGGAATCGATATCATAATCTGCTTTACTAACATCGATAATTTTATACTATCGCTATGGATGTACGGTTTGTTGTAATGCGTAAATACTTTAACCATAAAGATAAACAGTACATATGTGTATATTGTACCTATATCAACAGTATTATTTCTATTAATATAGGTATAAAAATATGACTACATTAATACGAGAATATGAGAAAAAGGTTCGCTGTTTAGCGAAACTCATTCGAAACTCCGAAGGTGACGCCACGATTTTATAACACAAGTAATATAAATGTAAAAAATATTTTGAAAATCTATCACATATTTTGTGCGCTTAAAATGTATGTGATGTACTATATATAATAAAAGTTTATGGAATATTTAACCAAACTTTAAATATAGAATTATTTAAACCAAGTAATGTTGCCTTAATGAAAAGAAGTTAAAATAACAAGTATAGAAAATTATTTCCTGTTAATAGCCATTAATGTATAAAGTGGTATAAAGCGTACTAACTTGTTTTCTATCCTACAACCGTAATGCCAATACTTATGTAATACGTTCACAATTCACATAAATACGAACTGAAATAAGCATTACTCGTAATGTAATAATAAAGTTATAGCATAAATAATTTTCAGTACTATTAAAACGGTATCTATCTACTTATCTTTTTAAAAATGAAATATATATAAAATACGTATTAATCTGTTATAAAAACAGATTTACGTTAAATGGAACGTTTTTAAATACGTATCAAGCGCTATCTATCGGCAAGTTTCAACTTTTGTTTGCTCCACGGTGACACACGCACACATTCATGAGTTTGATTGTATTGCTTCATAAATATTTTTCGCCTACGATAGCCATGCAGGAGGCGGCCTCCGTTACAATTTTATTATATTAAGTAGTTTTAATACATCACAAATTATGGAGCAGAGTAAATCTAATTCACCGAAATTATTTGTGTGCACCGCCATAGAAAACAAGGATGATATAGAGGAGGTACAGTGTTCAATTTCGCAGTTTCCCAACAAAGAATCGTTTAGTCAGCCATGTACAACTAGACTTTCTGATATTGACGACAGTGGCGCTGTTGTATACTTGGCGCGAAATTCAATTTATATAGTGTTTGACAAATTTTCCTGTTATCTTTATATTTCACTTTTACGTTTTCAGAGATACGAAAGAGCCTACAATTACTTTCAGTCCTTGGTAGCTGATTGTAGTGAGAAAGAAGCTCATGACGCATTAAATAATGCCGTCTGCAAGAATCATGAAGAGGTGTCACTAGGAATGCTGATGTCCATCCTCACTGAACCCCATAATGCTACCAAATGCTACAGGGACCTTACTCTAATCACTAGAGATGGTTTATTATGTGTACTAAATAACCTATCTAATTTGATTCTAGACAGGTATTTGAAATTTCAAGACACTACTCGCAATCAGCTTCTTTGGTTGATAAAGGAAATGATAAGAAATGCTGTCACTGGAGTAGACAGTGTCTGTTGGAATCTGATGAGATATGCATCAGGAGGTGACAATTCACCAAAAAATATAATCTTAGTAGAATCTCTTTTGGATATATATATTGAAAATCGGGTATGGTTAGATAAATTCCCAGTACTTATTTGCATGGTGGTGTATACATACTTAAGATTAATTGAAGATCATAATATACCACAATTAATGAGTTTAAGACAGAAAGAAGTGAATTTCGTCATTACTCTAATAAGGGAACGTTTTGCAGATGTGTTAAACCTTGGTAGGGATTTGGTCCGTTTACTCCAGAATGTTGCTCGTATACCAGAATTCAGTCAACTTTGGCAAGATATTTTGATGAACCCTAAAACATTATGTCCAACTTTTACAAATGCCTTGCAATTGTTACAATCAAGAACATCTCGTAGATATTTACAGTCTAGACTAACACCTGACATGGAAAGGAAACTAGTCTTTCTAACATCTCAAGTAAGGTTTGGCCATCATAAAAAATATCAGGAGTGGTTTCAAAGACAATATCTTGCCACTCCAGAATCACAATCCCTCAGAAGTGACATGATAAGATTCATTGTTGGTGTTATACATCCTACAAATGAACTACTTTGTTCCGATATCATTCCAAGGTGGGCTGTCATAGGATGGCTTCTCACAACTTGTACATCAAATGTAGCTGCATCAAATGCTAAACTTGCTCTATTTTATGATTGGTTATTCTATGATCCTGAAAAGGACAATATAATGAACATTGAACCTGCTATTCTTGTCATGCATCATTCAATGAGATCACATCCAGCTGTAACAGCAACATTATTGGACTTTTTATGTCGAATCATTCCAAATTTTTATCCTCCATATGCTGACAAAGTGAAGCAAGGAATATTTAATTCACTACAACAAATAATTGAAAAAAGAGTGCTGCCTAATTTACAACCTTTGTTTGACTCACCCAAATTAGACAGGGAATTGCGAACAACTGTAAGAGAAACTTTCAAAGAATTTTGCAGCAATGGTAATGGTGAAGGTGTATCAGGAACTCGAGAAGAGGGTAGTGAAGAAGGAGGTCCCATACCAAGAGGGGGTCCAGACGAACCTGCATTTTCAGATGACGAAGATGAAACTCCTACAAATATAGCAGAAGATACTGATGATGATGACTTGCCATTGTCTGAAGTCCGTGCACGTGAGCGTCCAGAATTAGCTGCCGCAATGCCTCTAATGTTAAGACCATTAGCTGAGACACTTTTAGATGAACGATCATCTAGTGCTGCCACCACTCTACTTAATGCCTGTAGTTCTCCAATGCCAACGCCAACTGCACTTGCTGACCTCTTCGCTGCTGCAATACAAGATGCACCTCCTTTACGAATCAGTCGCTGTCCTACCCCAGCAGAACTTGATTCTGCAATGAATTCGCCACTGTTTTCCATGTTCCCATATCTTTCTGTGACTGGAGAATGGACTGAGGCAAAACGAAAGCTTATACTGGAAACTTTAAAAGAAATTCATAGTCAGAATTCATTTCCCTCTGTAGGATTATATTTGTTGTTTTATTTAAGAGTATGCTATGAACGTGAATGTCGTGGCGAACGTGACTTAGGACGAAGACGAGAAGTGAAATTCAAATCAGAAATGTATAGCGAGTATTGTAGTTATTTGGAACTAAAATTAGGCGACAGTTTAGCAGACGATTTTGAAAAATGTCAGGAATGTGATGCTAATGTTCTCGTTTGGTTGATACCTGATGTCTACCGAGAATTCAAAGATCAAGCACAAAATCATATAAGACTGTTACATGCTGTAGTTTCTACATTAGATGCTGCCCAATTACAACGGTTGGTTTGTCTTACGTTGCAAGGGAATTTAATGATGTTCAAGTCTGACGACTTTACAAGTATGCTGTCTACCAGTCTTGAGTGGGAGACGTTTGAGCAGTATTGTCTTTGGCAACTTTTAACTGCACACGATATTTCAGTTGAAGATGTTTTACCAATAATACCTAAGCTGTCCTATAAAGACCATGCTGAGGCTCTAACATCAGTGTTACTTATGCTGAAGCAAGAAAAGCCCACCACCGATGTTTTGCGACAGTTGTTCTGTAGATCCATAGACGAAGATGACACTTTTGTAGTATCCACAGTAATGTATTGGTGTCAGGACTATGAAGATAAAGTAGGCGATTTAGTATCAGTCTTGCTGAATACGCGATATCCAGGCACAAGCCCTAACAAAAGAAAACGCCCAAGCAAACACAACATACCACCAAACGCTCCTCCTTCTGCTGAACTGGTAAATATACTCATCTGCATTACTTATTTCTACAGATATTATTTAAAACATACCAAATCAATATATGAATTAGGTATTAATAATAACTTAATATAAAAATATTTCTTTTTTAATTGATGAGATAAGATTTTTTTGAGATCCCTAGTCTATTTAGGCAATTTTTTTAATAGGACTCATTCAAAATATAGGTATATATATACTGCATAAAAAATTAACCCAAGTTTTATTTAGGATTTTATTTCAAGCCAGAACTAGTAGTGATTGGTCTGTGACATTGGTCAGATCTTCTTTCCGAATACCTGTAATAGTAGAATTAATAAAGCACCATTTAGTCTCAAGTTAAGCAGATCTTACGATGATGTTACGGGTACTAGACAGTTGATAGAAATACAATCCATTGGAAGGCAGTATGCTAAACTCATAGAGACTGTCTAAAAAAACCATATAAATCAACTCAATATTAAGGATAAAAAGACACTGTAAATTGTTAGTTTATATATTGCACACAACAAATATACAATACCTTTAAGATATATAAGACCTCTTTTTAGTTCGATTTGTTAAATATGTAATTTTAATACTTATTTATCCACTAGGTACTGGGCCACTTGGAACAACTGAGGGTATGTTGTGTAGAACAAGCTGACATGTCAATTTTCAACATGCAATGTATGCAGAAAGCACTGCAACAAGCTCAATCGAATAGTAATGATAATATAAGGGTAAGTCTTTATTCAAATATATTAAAATAAATCTAGAATGAGTCACAAAAGCAGCAAACGGAATTCTGTGATCTGTCTACCCTTAAGAGAAAACGGCGAATACAATATAATTATAATAAAAATATTGGTTACAATCAGTTATTTAGTATACACAAGAATAATCATAAAAACATCACGCAATAAATTACTATGTGTATACACATACACATGGAGTTTACAAGTGAGGCACTTGTAGCCGGGCTTGATATAGACATACACAGTTAAATCACAAACTTACCTTCTGCATCATATATCAATTACCCAATTAAGCTGCCAGCTATTTTAAATATTGTTTGTGTTTAGTAAATATGTTACTTACGCAATAAATACGTTGCTTGCATATATTATTGATATTTTGTTATAGATTCGATGATACCATATTGTATTTACGATTTATCTTTAAAACATGTTTTATAACTTTAAGATATAGTAGGTATTTTAAATGCATATGAAGTATTTTAATTTTCAGAGACAATATAGTGATTTATTCTGTCTTGCTTTGGAAGATGAATTACCAATATCAAGGCGAGCTAGAAAATTAATTTTAAATTCGATGCCTATCAATCAAAACTTGCATTCATCTAATGAAGACAGTGAGGTATGCATCCATATATATATATGTCTATCGTTTTTTAGTTCAGTTAACCATTCATTAATAAAAATTAGTTTTTTTTTTCCAAATTAAGAATGTTGTTAATAATGTTAAATAAGGGCTTTTAAGTTTACATGCCTGTATTTGACAGGCATGTAAACATGTCTTATGTAATTATGTCATAACTAGCAGTGCTCGCGGTTTCACACGAGTTAAATTTCAATAAAAAAATATAGCCTATGTGTTATTCAGATGCATAAGCTATATTGCTTTAAAGTTTCATCAAAATCCGCACAGTAGTTTTTGCGTGAAAGAGTAACAAACATCCGTACTCAGAAACTTTCGCATTTATAATATTAATTAAGATTAGAACAACAAGAATGATTAATTGGAAATGTACTTATTTTCCAGGAGGATGAAATTGTCAAGCCTAAACAAGCAAAACGTCGAAAGAAGGCTATTTCCGATAGTGATTGACATATCTCGCGTAGAAAGAATGGTAATTTTAGACACCAAAGTGCAACTCAACAATACAATAAATATTAGTATTGTAAAATACAGAATAATTGTTTGTTACCTTATATTATTACACAGACCAGGTCCAATTCCAAGAATGGAACCTGATTTCGTGACTCATCTGTAAATGTTATGTTGTAACCGCCCCTTAACATGATAATATTGCTGTAATTTAATATTTTTATGCACTGTATATTAAGTAAGAAGTAGATCCATTATTCCGCATGACGTGACCACTTAATGTACAAAACCAAACTGCTACTTTGTACAATGTATGTGACTCTGTGCATTGCGCATATGTAATTTAGCTAGTATAATATAAATAACTGGAAATATTATTTCTATTAAAGCGCTATAGATTGGTTTTGTGCAATTTCTTTTGCCAATTAGGATAACAATGAACGTTGTCACTGGTCATGCACTGTAAATTTTAGCACAGTAGATTTTATGTGTAAAGTTAGGTACCTTATTGTTGTACAGTTTTTTTAATTCCGATTATCGTGTCGACTTATGTTAAGTATAAGATGACCAAGAATTTTATTCAAAGGATATTGCGATTTTGAAATACATTTTACACTAAGATCAATAAAGTATTTCCCCTTTGTTCGTAGTTTCATTTTGCACAGCTTGGGTTATTCTATAAAAGTAAAACAATTTGCAGATATTATATTTTTAATTTTGTTTTAGTAAAGACAAACGGGTCGTTTTAATTATTTCAATAATCGACACAGAATAATTCTGTAATACGTACAAAACAGATATATTAACAAAATGACTGCATAAAATCGGACAAGGTAACTTAGTGATGTGATATGACTCATTTGATTTATAATCTAATAACAATATTTTGTATAGTGCTTAATAAAAAATGCTAAAAAGGACAATCGAGTAAATATTGTTATTACTAAATTTATTCTTAGTTGTAAACCTATTCATTATTAACTCCGCAATAAAAAAATTCTGTTTCTGAATTGTCTCTATGTGTGTATTTTATTATTTTAACAACTCTCCGATTTGATTTTGAACGCGTCTATAGATTTTTCAAATAATTTAATATTGTACTCGACTATCGCATGTCGACAATAAATTGACATAAAAGCAATATTGATATTTACAACGGAGAGAGGTAAGGGAATAAAATATTTAATATTAACATTTACAAATTTCGACGCTGTTCACAAGGGTCACAACACAAAAATCAGTATCTTCCAAAATTATTCCTACAACGCTAATTATAGTTTATGCTGACGAGAGACTAAGTATCCTTTGTTGCCGTTATTTTGTCCCTTAGATATAATAGCATTATGTATATAAATTGAAGGAATATATCTTACCGAATCATTTTATGAATTAATGTTTTTATATTATTTTGTTCAATTCTGAAACTAACTTTAGCATTTATGAGACCAAAAATTATCAGTGTGAAAAACTGACTCTCTTCTAGTCATCACATGTCGACCGTTATTATATCTACACCCATACTGCGACACGTGTTTTGCCTCACTAGTTCAGATAGTTTGAAAGCCTGGTATTGACTATTCGAGGATCAGACCGTAGTGTATTCATTGTCTGAAGATGAAACATACATACATACGCAGATGAAGGTCCTTTTAAGCAATATTGGAGCATTTCACAGTTGTAATAGCGAACTATAAAATTAGCTTGTAAGTGTAACTTTCATAATCGTAAACCGATTTTATCGAGTTACAATTGAAAATGATTAGCAGCTAGGTACTTACATAATAAATAATGTCGGTCTAATAAAATCACAAATTCTTATTAAACGACATTTAATTGAGTCCGTATTGAATTTAATTGAATATTCGTTCATTAAAGTACTAACTGACAATACTATCTTTAGTCTTGATTATGTTTCAAAGAACGTTAAAGTTACGTATAAAAATGAAATGGAATGAATATAGGGCTAAAACTCGCTGTACTTCCTGTATATACATGAATGATTAAGTATATGCCGCCCATGACTCTATACTACAGTCTGTTTTTAAATGTTTTATAAAATATACATACTAATTTATATTATACAAGAGGCAGGTAGTGTGTGAATTCTGAAATATATTTTGATACAACAATATTATATTCAATAATATCAATAGTTTATTCATTTTATATTATTGCACTTTAAATAAACACCCACATATTATTTGATAGTAAGGTATAATTTAATAAAATAATTGATATTAATTATAAGTAATTAATATTAATTTCCAATAATGCCTCAATACTATTTAAGAATCGTAATAAGCTGGCAACATAGGTAATGTCAAATTTATCTCCGTGATAAAAAAAAAACAGAAAAGTCCGTTATGCAGTCAGTGACCTATTAGAATTCCTGGATATACAAAATTAATCCAATTAGAATAATGTAAAGCGAAGTTTTAACTTCTCTATAGTGTAAATTGATAATCATCATCATCATCATCGCAGCCCGGAAGACGTCCACTGCTGGACATAACTCTCATATATTTCAAATTAATGACATTTCATTTCCACTAAACATGAACACGTCACAGTAATTATTGCGTAAATGTATCCCGAGTTACTTACATAATTTCACGTAATGCAATGAATTAAAAAATAGAATACATTTAAATAAAGCTAAAGTTTTCCTTGCTTATATCTCTGTCTTGCTTGCGCTTTGCTGTATTTAGTCTTTTTTTCGGGTAAAGTAGTATCTTTTTCTTCAGAAACGCCATTTACACCTGAAACGATAGTAGATTTAATTGTGTATTAAATAGTTAGTTCTTTCGGCAAGACAAAGGTCCAGACGTGAAAATAGATAACTGTGACTATCAGTTATCTAATATTATGTAATTTTACCAAGACCTCTGTCTAAAATAATTTGCTCAATGATTTTTAGATAGGTTAATAAATTAACAATTTAAAATCTAAAATGAAGAATTATGAATTATGCATACCTAAGTCCTCAGGTGGTTGTAGAGATTTACCGGCGCTCCACGCTGTCATCAAAGTGACGGATTTACCTATTGCCCACCCTATAGCTGCGAGGGCAAATGCGAATACTACCATGCTGAGTGGGTGCTGAAAGAATTATTTATTTATTTAAAATCTATAATTTAAACAATTAATAAATGCTAATACAGTAAAAGTTCCTTATTCGCGCTTCCTTCATTTGCGAATTAAAACATTGCGACCCAATTCCTATATTTGCGGCAAAAATTCGTTAATCATATATATGTATATTTGTTTTTTTTTTGCACCGCATAATATTTATATTAAAAACAACATAAATTACATATTATTATATTTATTTCGCGGCATATTTATGGAACACATACCCCGCGAATTAAGGAGAACGAAAAGAGATTTTACTGTATTAAGTTATGGGAGAGGGAGGGAAGGAGTTAAAAATGGCAAATATTAACATAATATATGACAAGCCATATATGTATTTATTCTGCCCTCATCAAAAATATTCTATTACAACACTTGGGTAAAGGAGAGAAGACGTACCTAGCTACTACCATTCATCATTAATTTATTAAAGTATCCAAATTAAACCAGGTCACTGTCAATTGTAATATTCCATGGATATTAGATAATAATCGTTATACAAATAAATAAAATGAAAACTTTTCACTAAATACATATGAATGTATATGTTAGGGGCAATTTGATAAGTCAGGGCACTATTAATAATGGCCGGTCTGTATTCATAATGTCGGACTCAATTGGACAATTTGATTAAAACAGATGAATGATTAAACACTTTTCCCGGCCATTATGAATAGTGTCCATCCTATTTTGGGCAAAGTAATAAAATAGGTGAACTGTAGTATTTTTATTTATTAAATGAAATTAAACTTAATTTCATGAAAGTCAATAAAAAATAAACTATTGAACATGGCAGTTAAAATTTAAACAGTTAAAAATGTAATAGCATAAACCTAACCTAACCGGAATTATTCATACTGCCCGGTCCAAGTGATAAATTCAAGGTATTATATTTCATACACTGACATAATATAAATAATGACTGAATAATGCCCGACGGCCCGTGGTCCATGTAATACATGGACCACGGGCCGTCGGGCATTATTAATAATTGCCGATCAAAGTGATAAATTTATCATTTCGCCCATCGCTTTTGGACATTATTAATAATGGACAGTCCTTATTAATAATGCCCCGTTAATCACGTCGCCCATAACCTATATATGCTGTATGATACTTATATATAAAAAAAATATATGCTTAATATAACAAATGCTTATGTTTGCTCTTGCTAATCTCTGAAAGGGCTGGACCGACTTTGTTGGAGCTTTCACTTCCAGATCGCTAATGCTATAAGGAATAATTTTGACTACTTTTATTTTAGACATTTTATTTATTTCAATAAAAAATACTCCATGTCGACATAGACATGGGTAATAACTAGTAATAGATAAACATCACATACAATTATTGATCTAATAATAATGAATTAGAGTACTTACAATCAATGTTGGATTTGCAGTTAAAGTGTAGTCTAATAAAACAATACCTATACCCATAGCCAAACCCAGGCATGTGCAAATCCATATAATGTTTTGATTATCTATAAAGAGAAACAGATTGCATAAACTTTCTATTCTTTTCTTTTTCATAAACATTACTTCACTCTAGTTGAATCTGGTAATCGAAAAAAAGCAATAAACATATTTACATGGACTTTAAAACAGAAGTATGAATAAAAAATTTAAAAATAGTTCTCATTTAAAAAAATAGTTCTAATCTGTCTAATATTTGAACTGTAAAGAACTAAAAATTCATAGCTGCTTTCATAATTAAAAAAATGTGACTAAATATGGTAATAAGTAAACATGGTTTTTATTAGGTGTTAGTTCTTATGAGACTATTAAAGGCTTGCGTTTAAGAGTCTGTATTAGTTAATAACTTAGCACACCACTTTACTTCTATATATATGTATAGTAACAGATTTTTATTCCTCACATGGTACAGACATTTGAATTCACAGCTATTGACTGTTTGTATTGATTTGGGTGTTTTACATATTTATGTTTTTTATTTTATACCTATATAATATGTAGTTACAAAAAACTAAGTATATCCATCTGTTGTCTAGTAACACAAACTCTGCTTAGATTGGGACTAGATGATGCAATCCAGTGTCACAATTATATTTTTTATATTAATTAAAAGTGATGTAGCATGAAGACCATTCATTGTATACAACCATTTATGTTGCTTTTATGACATTTATTTAAACATTATTATTTTACCTTAACATACACACAGATAACCAGACAAACTAATCATTTTTACCTAGTCAACATTTTATCATAAGTAAAGAAGACAGTGCAAAAGAAATGTAAACAAAAGATAATTGAGTATTGTAATATTGAAATTTATGTAATAGAAAAACTGATAAAAATAGCTTATATATAAGAAAATTGAATTAATTAATTAATTAATGCTGAGTTCTAACCAAATAAGGAACATACCTTTTAGTTTCCGTTTTTGCATATCAGTAATATTTTTAATAGACTCTATCAACTTAGGGTTATGTGGTTCGAGTTGTAAGGCCCTTGTATATGATATAATAGCCTCATCATATAAACCACTCGCTGATTCCACTTCAGCTCTTCGAAAATATCCCTGTAAAACAGAATTTATTTAATTAGTTTTTATTGCCAGAAGTTTGGGCTATAATGAGCATCATTATTACCTTAATGCTAAACAGCCTATACAGCCTTATTATTTTTAAAAGTTAGACATGGTAAGAAAAACAGTAATAAATGTTATAAATTTTCTTAACTATTTTTTCTACATTTTATATTCTGTAAGGTACAATATAGGTGTAATAAAAAGTTATGTTTGTATGTAGTGATGTAGTCTTTGAAACAAGTATCTATATGTGAGAAGATTTATGACACTATATGAAACAAAAGTAACAAGCTAGTCATTACAATGAATATTCTACCTTAGTCCATTGTGGTTGTAACCTTATTGTCTCATTAGCATCCTGAAGTGATAAATAATGTTGATCCAATTTCAAAAAAGCAAATGACCTGTTGCTATATAAAACGTAATTGTTAGGATCCATTTTAATTGCATGAGTATAGTGAAGGACTGCCTCAATGAACTTTCCTTCTTTAACACAATCATTTCCTTTGTTTCTCAAGTCTTCGACACTGGTAGGGGTGCTACTTTTCTTATTATCCTCCATGATTCAATTCTTTTGTAAAATTTTATCAAATAATAAGTAATTTAATATCTAAGTATTCCGCTTAGAATAAGTGTAATTAAATATTTTATTATTAAAATAATAACTTATTTTCTACCATTCCATATTTGTTTGTAGTAGTCTTTATAATATAAGTATACAGAGAAAGGTTAAAATATTAAAAATAGCTATATAATATAATAAAATCAAATAATACCGAATTACTAACTAAATTGACAGTTTGACACTGAATAAAACTGTTTTGTGACGTGACTGACTGCATTCGCTAGCATATTAGTGTTCTGTGCTGCAATCTGTCAGACTATGGACTGAATAGATAAAGTGCCAATGAGTGTTGCTAACTGGATTAATACAAAATGCCAATTGCCAACGTCATTTTTATTTTTATTTTTCTCTTCTTTGGCAAGAGGCTAGTGTTGCCTATTATGCCACTAAAAACAGGAAACGAGACGGGATAATGGAAAGGAACGGGTTAAATTTTGAATATACTCGGAATTAGTGATCATGGGTTTTAAAGTTTAATGTTATTATAGGAAATAAAAGACGCAAGAGATTTATAAATTATAGGATTAGGATGAGCTAATAGGCATACAATGGATGAAGGAAAAGGAATTTCTAATGAGATGAGTGTCTCTATAAATGAAGAACGATCGTAAGAGGAGCAGGAAAACACAATATGATTTAGATCACCCACATCTTCTCCACATTCACAGATATTATTGTCTTTTATACGTAGTTTTGTTAAATGTTCAGGGCTGCAAACATGACCAATTCGCATACGAATCAAAACACTAGTTGATCTTTTATCAAGTTGTAATTTGAAAAACCACGGTTTAAGAGGTATTAACGGTTGGACTAAACAGTAGTTTCCCGTTAATTTTGCTACTTATTGTCCAATCTTGACTCCATGAATCATGAAGACAAGACTTAGACAAGGCAGTCAGATCATGGCAAAAGTTTTTATAAGGAAAAAGATCTCCACATAATATAGCTTCATTCGCAAGCAAATCTGCTTTTTCGTTGCCCCGAATGCCACAGTGACCCGGAATCCAAACAAAAGATACAATATGTCCTTTGAGACGAATGCTATTCAACATATCTCGGATATCAAAAATTAGAGGATACTGTTTAGATGATTTGAATGGACATTTAATTAGAGCTTGAAGAGCACTTTTAGAGTCCGCAAATATAACAGTTTGCTTAAGATTAAAAATTTTAATATATTCTACTGCTTTAAAAATTCCATAGCATTCACCAGTAAAAACAGAGGGCTCTGGGTGGAAGGTGGAAATTTAATTTTCTGAATTATATGAAATTGTGAGTGGTAAATTCCTACACCAACATTTCCTGTATGTGAGTGTTTCGATGCGTCACAATAAATTTGATGATGGCTTTCCCATTTAGAGTTTACTACTTGATTAAACATTGCATTTACATTAGGATGTTCTTTTTCTATGTTAATATCAAAATGAACATCAGGGGTAAAAGTTAAAGATTCATATGCTTAAATTAACGTCATTGTTTGAGAGACGAAAAACTTACCAATAAAACAGCTAACTATTTATACTAACTACAATAAACAAAGTAAATAATAGATATTAAAGAACTAAATACAGCATCACAATCACTAAATAATGAAAAATATGTATAAAATTTAAATCAAAAGAAAAAACGCGCCCGCCAAGTTTAACGTTTCCCGCCGGTCGTTTTTTAACGTCATTGTTTGAGAGACAGTGTAATTTGTGCCTGTGGCTTATTTCAGTTTGCTGAGTAAAAAATTGCTGTTATAATTATGTCATATAAAATATTGCTAAAAAATATGCTAATATTTTTCAATGACAAATAAAACGTCAGTTTAATAACAAACAAAAAATGTATTTATTTTCTGTTATCGAAAAAAAGATATCTTCGTTCAAGCCGATCCTTCAGATAGTGCAATAGAGGTAAATCGATTTGGGGAGGTAATGTAATAAATTTTAAGGTACAAACAACAAATAAATATGCTAAACAACGCAAAAATGTGCCAAAAGTGCATAAAATATGGTAAATTGGCGACACTGTTAATAGCCTCGGTTGTTTAGCGGTTTAGCACACCGCTTTACTATCGATGGTCGCGACTTCAATTCCGCATAATTTTACTATGCAACGGGGTCAGGGAGGAGGGCAGGCGGGGGGGTTTTTGTTTTACATTATTTTATCTGAAATAAAACACTAAATAAGTATTAGTACTACCTATATTTATTTTATGCGTTCTTTGTTATAAATATTGACATAAAATTAAAAGTGACGAATTTTATAAGTTTTGCAAACATCTAACTACAAAAAAAAATAGAGTTCATATGTTTTATATGATATCATTAAGTTGATATTTCAATGTGATTACAAACATTGATCTGTAGCAAGAACATTGGTAACAAAATAAATGTTGTTATTTATTATAATAAAAGTAATTACAAATTACTGACAATTAATCAACTAAACAAAATATAATCAATACCTTCAATGATATTCAGGCTTCTGAGATTTTTTTCAAATTCTCCATTAGTAAAATCTAATTTAACACAAATTAATAAAGGCAATTTAGCATCTTTAAAGTGTACAACAGGCAATGATTTTAATACTTTTCTTTTCACAGGACAGTACAACTCAACAGAGTGACCTATTTTATTTTTATCAACATCACAGAATGCTATAACTTTATCACGAGTTATTTGACTTAGTGATCTTATGAATCTTCTTCCAGATTTACCTGCATTCCATACAGTGAATGATGTCCAGTATGGGAATACACATTTTTCTAATCTTCGCAGTTGAATTTCTTGTATTATTTTTCGTTGTATAGAAAATGTTGTAGATTCTTCATGGTATCTATATATTACTAACTCTTCATCAATCCTGTGAACATCTCCTCCTAAGTCTAAATGCTTATAAAAAAATATAAGATCTTCTGGAGTGCCATGTCCAGATTCATCAAAACCTCCAACTCTTTCAAAAATAGATCTGTGACAAAACCATGTTGGCATTAGTAATGTAGGCCCATTTGAAGTATAAATTTGCAATTTCTGTTGCATAGGACTAATACTGTTTGCCCAGTGAACAAAACGTGGTGTAGAATATGTAGGGATTCGAGAAATTTGACTTCCAATAAGAGCATTAGGATTTGAATTTGCAGCTTCCCATTGTAAAAGCATTCTGTTTTCATGCATAATATCATCTATATCTTGAAAACAAAGAAAATTTCCTATGCTACTCCTAATGGCACCATTTTTAGCAGCTCCCACACCTCTTGATATTTGTGAATTGGTCAAAATGAAGTTAACTCCGATAGAATTAAAATGTTCAGCCCAATCTTCAAGTAATTTTTTTGTACCATCGTTACTACCATCATTGAATACAGATATTTCTACTTTTAAATTAGTTTTTAATATTGATTGTACCATAACAGATCTCATACAAGTATTTATCCATTTCTCTCCATTATATACTGGAATAATAATCGAAATATCAATCATTTTTAAGTTATGAACATTTATCATTAAACTAATTAGTAAGATCCATACATCCTTCAGATATAATTTATTGGGTTATAGTATACCTAAACCCATAAGAGAAGTCATAAATAATTTTCAACGAGATTCTTTCTTAATGAGATTCTAAATGATAGCATTGAAACAAATGATCAAGTCATTGTTGTATTATTTGAAATTTGGCTTGTAATAAATTTAAGTTTAATCTAAACTGGGTTCAAACATGTAAGCACATTATTGTCAGATATAATAGTGAGGTACATTGCGTAATTCCGTGCATTGTATTTAGCTTTTACACTAATTCTTTGATTTAGCCGCTGTGTAGTGGAATATTTTAACATTGTCTTCTATTCATTTCATTTAGTCATAGTTATTTCACTTGGCTGTAGTGTGGTTAAATATTTTAGCTCTGTATAAAATATAAATTGTGATAAGCAACTATTTATACCACTCAACTATATAGTTCGTAGGTATCTGTAATTATAAAATATATATATCTTTGTCTAAATAGTCAAAACAATTTTTTTCAATAGCTAAAATAATATGAGCAAAGAATATACTACTCAAACTCTGACTTATAGTTCTGTTCTGACAGAAGAGCAAAGAATATACTACTCAAGAGTATAGAGACGGGCAGTGTTGCCAACACAACTAAGTCAAATATGCTAAACTGCTGTTAAAATTATGCTAAAAAAATATTCTAACATTTTTCAATGTCAAATAAAACTCATTTAAGTTTAAATTTTTAATAATAAAATTTATGTTATGCTTTAATCAATTATTTTTATCATTCAAATCTTTCTTTCTTTGTAAATATGTTTCCTTCTCCTACATTGTCTTATTTGTAACATTTTACATAGTATGTTGTTTTTTTTGTGTATATGTATAATATTTGATTATCTATATATATTTAACATATATTATATTGTATATATGTATACACATATATGTAAATTTATGTTTATATACTAGTACGTTATTTTAAAAACCCTTCCTTGTGTATGTTCGCTGATATCTATTTTATTGACATAAGTACCTCATTTTACATATCGACAAATTGCCAACAAAGACAAATTGCAAGTGTGATAGGGACAAAGTTTTGTCAGTAGAACTATTTCGGATAATTTATTTTTTTGGTTAAATTTGTATTAAATGAATAAATTTATATGCTAAAAAATTGCTATATTCTAAATTACCGGAAATATGATAAACAACTTAAAAATATGCCAAATCTAGCATCAAATATGCTAAATTGGCAACACTGGAGGCAGGCTTAAAATGTACAAAGAGTTATCTTATAAACAGTCTTTTATGCTTGAACAATTGAACTACTTTACACTTTACAGATGAATTTATTTATTCATCGATTGGTTGACGAGATTTGTATATGTTTATATGAAGAAATAGTCTTTTCTACGACGGAGAAAATTAGGACTGTTTTTTAAACTAGCCTCATCGTCGATAATAAACATTCTCTTTGCATGAACTGTAAAACTGTTGAGGTTATCGTCTGCTACCATAGAGTTTACGAACTTTTTAGATTCTCTCTCTCTACCACAGAACATCAATATAATAGCTGTCCCTGTACTATAAGACCTGTGAAGCAGTCTCTGTCTGCTTCGTGTCCTGTATGATAATGTGCTTTAATTTAACTTTTTAGTCCAAAAATATAGTTTTCGTTTTGACTGTTAAAATACATATGTACATAAATCCTTAATATATTATTTTAATATGGGCATTAAAGAAGCAAATATATATCTAGATAACCAACTTAACACTTATTATGCTGGTCAAGCTATTAATGGGAGAATAGAATACGTATTTGATAGCCCAAAAAAAGTTCGAGGTAAGAACGACAATTAATTTAAATAATGTAGCATAAATTATTGAAGAAATTACTTTCAATTGAATTGATTTTGATTTATATGAGGTGCATTACTTTCTGTTCCAGGTATACACGTAAAATTCAAGGGCGAGGCACATACTGAGTGGTATGAGAGTAAACAACAAGAAAATGAACAAGGCAAAACTGAATCTACAGATACAATGCATACAGGGAATGAAGAATATTTTTCAATTTCATATTATTTACTTGGTAGTAATACTGGTTAGTACAAAGTTAGAGAAACTAAATAGGTTTATTATTTGCATAGTGCATATGATTACAGAGTACTTTATTTTTACATATGATGTCATTCATACAGCATTCATTTTTTGTCAGTGAGACATTATAGGAAACTTAATTACTTTAATATTATTATACCTGCCTAATAAAGGAAAACTTAATGCTTAATCCTTATTAGACAAATAAAGATATCTATTTGTCCAATATTATGTAAATTTTTAATACTACATTGTTTTACCTATTAATATGATTCATCTATTTGAGCATGATGAATTAAATGAAGTGGTATTTACCTTAATTCCTTTTTATTTATTTTATTATTTTGGAATAGTTACTGCTGTAATTATTTTTATACTATTTGGCATTCTTTAGTGTAGAGTTCCCTTAGTGTTTATGATTATAAGCAAAGCAAAAGAAAGACGGCAAAATAATTGTAATCTGATAATTGTATAATTTGTATACTGATTATTAATTTATAGTTACATTGTACACAAGATATGTACAAGATATTTCAGCACTGTACATACTCATTAACTTGTTAAGAATTTTGTATTTTTTACTTTTTTATTTTTATTCATACTAATATTATAAAATTATTACCAATTTCTGGCTACTACATTATTTTGTATAGGAGATATTTTTATGAGAGATAGTCAGGAAATATTTTTGTAAATTCATTTCCTGAAGATAGAAACAGGGGCTCTAAAGATTTTGATGAAACTAAGATAAATGTATCAGCAGATAGAACAGATATAATATATCAGCTTTTCTTGGAAAAATAAATGCCACAAGCATTATTTTTTTTTACAGGAAATTAGTCATTTGTTATTAGAGTAATACTCACTCCATTTCAGAATTTTGTGACAATTATACAATGTTTAATAGTGATCCGTAGGGTATTCCTTTGTATGGATCTGTGCTGTCCAGGACAAACACATTTTCTTCCATAAACATTAAGGCATGAATTCAAATATATGAGAAAAATTCAAAAATAACATTTTTTTAAGCAGTAGCAGTAAGTTATAACTATTACAACAGTTCTGAGGATGTATGGTATATATATAATAATAAATATACCTATATAAACCGATGATGATGAATAAATACACATTATGAAGAATTCCCTACATTATTATTATCTTATAACATTTATGTTAAGTTTAACATTAAATAAAAAAAAAAAAACAAAATGTAGGTCTTATGCAATGCAAAATTATCCATTAATTCATTTTTCAAGGTTTTTTCATTGACTATTTTAATTAATGTTATATGTTCATTAATAGGCAATGAGATAGAAATCTCACCTGGCAAGCAAGTGTATAACTTTACATGTACACTACCTCCTGTGTTACCTTCGTCATTTGAAGGTGAATTTGGATATGTCAGATATACAGTAAAAGTAACTTTAGACCGGCCTTGGAAATTTGATCAAGAAACAAAGATGGCTTTTACAGTTATAAATGCACTTGATCTAAATCTCAATCCATCTTATAGAGTGAGTACATAATAAGTATATTATAATTAATGTGATTGACATGAACTCTTTATACAGTATCATTCATAATAGTAATTTGGATATAACACTCAAAAAAGAAATGATAAAGTAGCTGTATTAATATAGTCATAACTATACTTGAAATTAACTATTATTTAAGCTAATCTATAAATTACCATTCTTAGTAAACATATTTATTAATTTAAAAGTCAAAGGTCATATTGATTATCATTTAGATTAAATCATGTCCTTGCTATTCTGTCTCCTAACCTATTGAAAGTCTGCCTAAATTAAATGAACAAATATATAATTTATTATTTATATATTACCAGGAACCAATTCACATACAATTGGAAAAGACATTCTGTTGCCTATGCTGTGCTTCTCCTCCGTTGTCCCTTGATGTACAAGCTCCGGTTAAGGGATATTGTCCAGGACAAGTGATACCTATACAGGTTGATGTGGAGAACAAAAGTAATGTTCAGGTGCACCTTGTTAAGATATTTTTAAGAAAGGTAAGAATTAGAATATACAGACAGAGAAATATACAAATTAATAAATAAAATTTTGATATTTCTACAATAAATCGTAAATATTTAACATTCACTAGCTATCCAAGAAATATAATAATTTATTCTCTAGTCCTGCACAGGACACACTCACATAATATATATGTAGTTCACAAATTATTTATTAATTATCTTAATATTCTTTTACAGGTTGTAACTTACAGAGCCTCATCCCCATCTACAGCAACAAAAAAGACAAAAGATGTTATAGTAACTATCCAAGAAGGCCCTGCTCCAGCTGGTACTACAAAGCATTGGAATCTACAACTTGAAATTCCACCTATACCTCCATCTAATTTAGTTAACTGCAACATAATTGATTTAGATTATGACTTCAAGGTATAAATATTTATTGAGTAACTTTATATGAATTATAATATGAAATGCTATGTATAAATTTCCGAGTTTAAGTATGTTCTACCTCTCGTGCTAATAATGTTAATTAGCAAACATTACATTTTTTTATCGGCCAGTCAAACAAAGCCATAGCTTGTGTAAGTTTTTATGTAATGGGCAAATGACTGAGGCCAACTGATGGTAAGTGGTACCCTTCAACAAAATACTTGAATATCACCACGGGCGGTAGGTGACGATATGACGCCCGTGATACTACTTATAGGTTGCCAATCCGGAAGACTAAGATGTCATGTATTCATGTTATGTAAAGCAAGTCTTTCAATCCACTGAAGAGCCCTAGCCCTAAGCCTTAACCATTGGGCCTGAGAGAGATAGTGTGAATGATGTACACAAATTGGAATAAAAGATGTGCTATGCTAATATGCAAGCTAAATGGTAGTGTGGATGATGGAGATCAAGACGAAGCTAAGCTAAGCTAAGAAAACGGCACCAGTATAGTCGTAAAATATTGTACTAACTTATTTAAGTCACATGTAAAAACAATAGTGTTTATAAAAAATATGGACAATAAAAAAGGTTTATAAAACAGTTTCCAACAGGTATCGAATGTTTGCAACAGAGTTAAATTTTATTCAAATAATTATGTACTTTTCAATGTACTATTATAATATGTTGTGTAGAATATGTATAAGGAAAGAGTTTACAATGTGATTAATATAGCAGTGGTTTTATACATTCTTGATTTATTGTTGGCATTACAATTAAATTTGTAGGTATCTAAATATTAACTATTATTTATGTTCCTTATTAAACAGGTAGAATGTGTCGTGTCAGGCATGCATATAAATATGAAGGATAAAAAATATGTGACTATTGGTACTGTGCCACTGGTGGGTGTAGTGGGCCAAAGTGCACCGGCACCCACGCAACCCACCGGACAGTATTCTCCGAGCCAACCTGCTGTGCTCCCTGTGGGACCGGGCCAGCCTGCTCAACCCACTGTAAGTAGCTATGCTATTTGCTGCAAACGCTTGTACTATACTACTCATACCTGATGACTTTGTTTACCGTGTGTATACATGGTTGGGATTCGATTGATATTTTAAAATCTTTAAAAACGAACCGCGACCGGTTTGTTTCTAATACTTTTTAATATCAATAAAAACCGCTAGTATGTAAAATCATTTTAAGCGATAACATGTTTAAAGCTGTCATAATCAAAACTCTGAGCGGACGCTCAAGAGGAAAAATCACGTAATTACATAAGTCGATGTATTATTGTATGTTCATTTATTTACAGGCACCATCAGCACCCAGCGGAGAGCCAACTCCTGGAGGATGGGTAGTGCCAGGAACAGTGCCAGTACAACCGCCTTATCAAACACTGTATCCTACACTCAGTGAGTGACTATTTGTAACTTATTACAAAAAAGCCCTTGTAAAATTGTAGCATATAAATGTTCCATACTTTTCTAACATTTATGATATGTTTTATTACAGCGGAACCAGTATATAAAGAATCTCAATATGTGGCCAGGACTATTCAGGATAGAGGAGATGGCAATCACACTAGAATAACGGGGCCAAATAATTTTGCACCTTATTATCCTACATATGCTGCAGTACAACCTCCGCCGCTACCTCAGTAATAACTTTACAAATAATTTTAGATATAAATGTTGTCTAGTGTATGTATAATATAATATAGCACAAATTTGTATGCAGCTTGTTTGCCACACCAATTCCACCTCAGTATATTGATATTGTGTCAAAAACGGTGCGAATACTTCTTATTGTATTCAATTTGTAAAGATTAGTATTAGTAGTTTAATGATTTTCTCTTTTGTATCGAATCTCGAACTCGGTAAGTATACCGTCCATATAATTTTAGAGATGTATCGAATATAAAATATATTATTAAAATGACTGTAACTTACTATAAATATTATGAGTAGTCACATGATATTCCACTATCTAACTGTTAAATAAAATGTCATATATTTTTTTTAATGTAACAGAGGTTGTCAAACCATTTTCCTAGTAGTTAGGTGTTTATCCGTATGAAGTTAAGTCGACTTTTATCCCCGTCAACAAGAATGGTTACATTAACAAAGTCACGTACAAAATATTGTAATTTTAAATTGTATAATAACATTTAATATTTATTTATATCCTCGAATAAGGTGCTTTACAATTGTTTTCATATTTGTGTACAAATGTCAGTAATTGTATATACTTAGTAGTGATAAGACATGTCCAATTTTTATAGTAGCCTTGCGTAATGGTGGGTAAGGCAGTATGTAGCATTTTTGCTTTTTTTTTTTATTGAAGACCAACTTTTACCCTCAGCTTCGCTCGCATTGAATAAAAAATATTTGTTTTCATTTAAGTAAAGAGTATAAAAAAAAGTATCCTATGTTCATTCTAATACCTCCAAGAACATGTGTACAATAATTCATGATGAACGGTTCAGTAGTTTTCGCGTGAAAGCGTAACAAACATCCCTACTTTCACATTTGTAATATTATTAAGGATGTAACTCAATTGATATTAATTTTTATGGATTCATATATAGTTTGTAATTTATACTAATAAAAATGTATTGATTTTATTTTAAGAATAAAAGAAAGACATTAAAAGACTGCTCTTTTATTGATTTTCCTTCACAGAAATATAAATAAATTCGAAAAAAAAAACAAGTAAATTTATAATAGCAGTATTGAGATGGCGGAAGTGAGGAAGTGAGCATGTAAAATACCAAAATGACACGGTACTATTTCTGGTGGGTTATGGATAATTAATGGATGGATAACATTTAATGGCCGTTTTACTAGGTATTTGCTAAGAATATTAAGTAGAATTAAGTAATAACACAACACCTTCTCCGTTTTAGTGCTCTACAATAACAATAATATTTTAACAATAGAAAACATTCAAGGCAGCAATTTTATTTACCTAAGTATGATGTTTGTTTGTTGCAATAAAATCATAAAACGCATTATGATACATTTGCAAGATGACAGTGCATATTTTGTAATATCACTATGTAATTATAAATTATGTATATTTCCTGTTAATTTAAAACAGGTAAAACAATATACAATGTTATAGAGGCTCTCGTTGCCATAACGCAGTGTTCTGTAGTCATGTTCATTGATTAATTAATTGATGTGGATGTTGTAATACTTTTTCATAAGATCTCCAGAATACCAATTAACATGTTCACTAAAAACTCATCTTGGAAGAGGCCCCACGTCACTATTAAAATGCGAATAAAAATCTTGAGTAATTCTACGCTTAATCACAAGTCGTAACTATTGAAATTATAACAATGTTATATAGATATGCTCGCTAATAGATAGAATTTGCACCTATATTACGCGTTCAATGAACATATTATCGGTATCTTCAATTATAAATCAAGATAATAAACAGAATCTAGAACATCATTATTACATTTCAGGCATTATGGTTCCAATCACTTTATATTATTAATTGCCGCATTATATCTATCTGTTATTTAATTTAATAAATTTTATAAGAAAACTATAGTATGTATCAAGAAAAAGATTTGTATTACTGTATATAAATAAACGTTATCTCTATTTTATTGATAAATTTAACTTATGAGAAGGAAAAACAATAAGTTATCTAATTTTTTGTCTACTTTAGATCTGACACTGTTTGGTACAATGATGATATTGATGAAGATACTGTGAACCTCCCTTTAATGAAAAAATCATGAAATGTATAATTTATCATATACATAATATTATATAGATATCGCCTAATAAACAAAATATTTACTAATACGCTTAGTTTATCTTTATGTCAAAGTAAAATAAAAGAAATTAAGTTTCAAAGGCGAACTGAGATGGTTTAATATTAGTCTCATTTGACTAAAGATAGGACTCTATATCCAAATTAGAAGTAAAAATGAATAAACAGGCCCTTAGGTCAGGTATATTGAAATGCAGTAAAACTATTGCGTTACCTTAATGTAAAACGTATTAAATATTTATCAGTTCTTAACAATTGGTATATTAAATGGAAACCAATGCTTGTTTGGATAAATCCATTTTGTTCGTTCGAAACTAGTAGGTGAATTTAAAGATATAAATACAAAATCTGATATTAATAATTTGGTAACGGGCTTGGTTATTCATTGTTAAATCTCTAAAATCGATTAACCCGTGATGTTTATAATTTACAAGTAGTATGTAAAATGTTAATGTGTGTGTGCAATTATGGAAGTCCTGGGAATTATATTTGGAAAATAAGTTTGCAATTTAAACTCGACGAGTTGTGATGCATATTTGATGTGCTACATAATTTTCTATCCCTGTAATGGAACGATGAATTTACTTTACGCATCGGTACTCGATGTGTAAGTGCGCGTCTGCGCATGATAACAGAATGCCATGACACATTTTCTAGCTTTCGAGTTTACACTCAATATGGTCTATGGCCGAAGACGTAATTATCGTCACGGTCGGATTCCGCCGCCGGCGCAAGCTGAGAAACCCCCTGCTAACGAGTCGTGGAAAATGGGATTTCTTATCTGCTTCAAGACCTAACTTTGGTTCGTCTTCGGTCAGGCGTGCGATGCGCATCGGCGTATCTCGTCAATACCATGTCTGCTGCCACCCCGGAGGAGTGCGGTCGGCTGGTGCGGCCCCGCGGCGGTCCGGCCGACGCTCTCAGTACTGGCTGCAGCGCGCTCGGAACCCGCCCTGGTACGTGGAGTCCTGTGACAACAGGCCGTCGGGCTGCGACGGGCAGTCCGGAGCCGTCGACTCCTGGCTGAAGTCCGGCTGGGAGGCACCCTGCGACAGTGACAGCGGTGGTTGTTGCGAGAGTGGCTCCTGAGACAAACGAGGCGGTCGCTTCCTACCACTGCGCTGGTTGGTACCAACAGGCAAGCGCTGTAGGGGCCGGTGTGCCGAAAACGCGGCAGGAGGAACGGGCGCGTGCAGCATTGCAGCACGCTCCGGGCCCACGTACGCGAGCGGGTCACGCAGCGGACGAGCGCGGTCGTAAACCGAGCCGGGCACCATCGCCTCGCGCGCGTCGAACATTGATGTCGACATAAAGTGTGACCCTGGGTTTTGTGCATTTACCAATTTTTTAGGCTTAGCAAATTGGATAGCAGATTCTTTTAAATTCGATAGGGGTCCTTCGGTTAGCACGCGTCGTTCCTTGTAAAATGCTAGAAGGTGATTCCACAATGGTTGTTTACTTAGTACTTTAGGGTTACCGACGACGATGAGACCGTATTTTGCACGAGTCAGAGCGACGTTGAGACGACGTGGATCGCTCAAAAAGCCGATTCCCTGGTGCTCGTTGGAGCGTACACACGACATGATTATTATATCTTTTTCTCTGCCTTGAAAAGCGTCCACACTGGCAACTTCTATTTCCTGATAAAGTTTGGCATGTAAACTGCCTTGGTACTGCATGTGTTGAACAAGATAAGATCGCTGTCCTTCATAGGGCGTGATAATTCCAATTTGTTCAGGACGGACACCTGCTTTCAAAAATCGAGTTGTAAGTTTTTCAACATTGGCAGCTTCAGTTCTATTCAAGTAAGATGTACCTGATCCTGCAATTTCTTCTTGACCTTGAGTGACATAGAAAAACATTGGACGGTCTGGTCGTGGCCAGGGGAAATCTATCTTATGCAGGCGTCTTTCTTCAGCACTGACACCGTTCTGTAAAGAACCTTCATAAAAGAAATCAGACGGGAATCGAGATAATTCCGGATGCATTCGGTATTGTACTTCTAGACGGAAAGGACGTATACCCAATACTACTAAGCGCTCAAAAAGGCTCTGACTGAGACCCGCTTTGGCAGCTTTTTTGCACATAACCACTGGTCCTAGCTGACAATGATCACCCACAAGGATTAGTTGCCTAGCCCCAAGAACTACGGGCACCATACATTCTGGCTCTGTAGATTGCATACCTTCATCAATGAGTATGGATTGGAAACGCATGCGAGCAACTCTTGGATCTCCAGCACCTACACAAGTAGTACATACTACATCTGCAGCATCTAATAGCCGTCTTTCAGCAGCACGACGTAATGCACGGTATCTCCTTTCATCAGCAGCTGATAATTCGCCAGCTTCTTCCTTAAGCCTAGTCAACTTACGTAACTCGCTATCAACAGATCCTAGAGCACGGGCTTGCTCATGGAGTGCCAAAAAGGATACTGAAGATTCCATAGCTTCTCTTGATTTTGCGCATAATCTCACAACTTTCAATCCCGTTCTATGTATCTTTTCAGTAAGTTGGTCAACAGCGGTATTGGACGGCGCACAGACCAAGACAGGACCTCCATTTTGCCTAACCAATTGATATACAATTGTTGCTGAAGTTACAGTCTTCCCAGTTCCTGGTGGTCCTTGGATCAAAGATAAAGGACGTTGTAGAGCATGCTTCACTGCATATACCTGAAATTAGGAACAAACATGAAAAACTATATAATTTCCGATATAAGTACAAAATATAATATCTAACAACCATTTATTATATAATAATAGTACAAAATAAGTACCTGTGATCGATTGAGATCAGGTAAGTTTGGCGCACTAAAATGTTTCGGTAGATGGACGCGAAACAAAACTTCTTCTACCTCATGGCCTAATAGGCGACGGTATATGTAGCCTGATACAGACGAATCATCTACGGCGAACTTACGTAGAGCAAGTTGCATCCTGAAATTTAATATATCATTGTAGAAGTAAGTAATATATTATAACTTTTTTTTATAAATTCGTTGTATAAATTAGATACTGGTCAAGAAAATGAGCACAATTTATATAGTAGTTATTATATAATTCAATATTCTTTTCGAATATTGGTTATTATAATCAATGTAGATTTCCAACAGTACCGGTATCTTGCACTTTGCTCATCGTTCTCATATGAATATCCATAGGTAAAATATCCAGAATCTAGAAATTATTATCAATACACATAGATACACAGTTGATGTAATAAGGAGTAACTTAGGCTACTTTTATTTTAGAAAAATAAACTTAAATTCCACGCGGACGTTGTTCCCGCGACTTGACGAGCTACCAGCCAAAAAAAAGTCCCGTCAAAATCGGTTCAGCCATTTCAGAGATTAGCCGGAACAAACAGACAGACAGACAGACAAAAATCGAACAAAATGTTGTTTTGGTATATGTATTTATATTCATATGCATGTAGTAAAAACGGTTATTTCAATATTACAAACAGAAACTACAATTTTATTTATATGTATAGATTAAAATGATACACATAAAAAAATACCTATCAAAAGAAGTGCTCTTCCATATGAAGTCCACAACAAAATTAGAAGTACAGTCAAGAGGAGCACCAGCACCACTCTTCAATTCGAGGCCCACGTCGTCGCCGTAGTTGTCGGGTACTTTGATCACGTGGCCTACACCAGCCCACGCTTTGTGCAATTCACCAACATACCTTATATAATATAAATTAATGTAAATAAATGGTGAAAATTTGCAATATATAATGATAGCACAGCAATATTTTAATTATAATATTCATATAGACACGAACTACGCCAAATATTTTAACAATAATTTCCGAAATAAGGATAAATAATAACTCTCAATAAACTAAATAAACTTCGCAACATTATGTGGAGGAAATTACCTCAATCTCAATTCATCTCCATGCATTAGTTTCATATCACTATCAGTTTTAGCGAGTGTGAAGTAAGCAATGGTCTTCTTGTTAAGACCCACATCCCAGCGCACCTCTATTCCTTCTTGGGTTTGTGATTCCTTTAGCCGCTTATCATAATCAGCTTCCAACTTCACCAAGGGGCCAAATATATTTTGGTACTGATAACCATCTTCATATCTAAGGGAATATAGAATATTAAAAGTAATAAAACTGGTGTTTCATTAATTAGAGTCCAATTTTATGTGTGTTATCATAATTGATCAGCATAAATTTGCCTATGCCTATATATCTTCTGCATTACAAATGCTATATAAATATTACTGCTGATTGTTTAAGCAATGCAAGTAAAAATGTATGAAAGTGTAAAAAACATATCAATAACTAAACTTACTTCGGCATTTGTAATATCAGTTAGGATTTATTATTTTATGCTGCATAAAACAGCAACAGTATATATACATACATATCATATGTGTAGTGTTGTATGGTATAATATAAGGTTTCAACAAAACTAGCACTGTATTGTCGTATTGGTCAGAAAAAAAAAATATGTCATGCTACCTTAGTAAGACTTGCTGAGGTTCTTCATCAACACCAGGTTTTTCCAGATCTTGGAAAGTAGCATCAACATTATCACGCCACAGCTCTTCAAGACGTCCTATTTGTTGTGGTGTCACCTGCAAACATCAGAAACAACATCATAAATATAACATGCATTTACAAAAAATTAGTTATAATTATATCTTTGTTGTTTAGTACCCAAATAAATGCAATGAAAAGTAGGCTGGACACAGCACTATGTTCACAATAATGACAGTTGACAATGCCTCTGACTGTCCCATCCAGGATAACAGTTGCTGCCAATCCCAATACCTACACTACAATAGATACTATTATAACAGAATAGTGTACTTTATGTGCTATTTCTTTATTTACCTAATCTGATGAAACTGTATGGAAATGTATACAAAGTTGTCTTTTCTTGAACTTGTGTGAAATGTTATTTATTTATATAATTTAAATTATGTTTTAATAACGAACATACCTGGCGGGCCCTCATTTGTTCTGCTTCCGATGGTACTTTTACCAGCCATGACAGGAAGGCACGATCAGCTATGAAATAAATTATTAAAAAGTTATATTTTATTGTAAGAATATTGAAAATTAATTAAATATACATATAGGTAAATACTTCATTTTAAAAGAACACCTACATATTAAAGGCTTCCATTGTTCTTGATCCCAGTTCATATCTTTCAAAGAGCTCTGTGCAGCACACGGTTGGCTGCAAAATAAATGTTATATTACATTACTTTAAAATTTCTAGTTGTAATTTTTTTATTAATTAATAAAACATAAAGAATATTTTTCTACTAGTAACTCTAGGTCTGTAACTTAGAAGTATTTCTTATGACATATTTATCCATTGACTGTACATTAATTCTTGTCACTTAAAATGAATATTTTATAATATAAATAATAACAATAAACATAAATATATCATATTCTTACCGACACAACAGAACTACTACTGAATCAGCTTTAGCAGGAATAAAACCAAGGACAAAAACATTGCGAGCACCACAAGAGTAGCACTCTAAGAGTGTCTCTCCAAGAGGCCCATCACGATGCAAAGCTGCTTCCTTATGTTTCGCTCTCACAAGATGGTTTATAATATGTGAGCCTGAAGTGTTACCACGGCCATTGCAGAACCTAGAATGAAATCGATAATCATATCTATTATCAGGAAAACAAAATTACTTCCTCACAAAACAATCAAACAGGATAGGCACTTGTATTACTATTTTGCCAAATATTTTAACTGTACAGTAGAATCCTGATTATTCAGATTAAATAAAAGCAGTAGTTCCATATAATTGAAAATCCAGATAACCAATTTCAAAGCAAATCAAAATAATCCAGATTTTAATAATTTTCCATTATGTAATGGGATTTACTTAGATAATGCAATATATTAAAAAAATAAGCTATAATGATAGATAAGGAATAAGATAAAACCTATGTAATTAAAATTTTAGTTGGAAATTGATTGATCTTTGACATAATGAATCACATATTTTCATTGCAGCCAAGTCCCTGATGCACTTCAGTGGTAACAACTGTATGGAATCCGATTCATCCTGTCTTTCAAAATCAACATCTAGAGCTTCAAAAGCTTCTGCATGAGATGGTACTTGACATACAACCCCAGTTTCAATCTCTTTGTCATCTTCTCTCTTGTTACTGTTCAAATCCTCAAATATCTGAATTGATAATTATATTAGAGACAAATGGATAACCGGATGTTCGGATAATCAGGATTCTAATGTATTTTCAAATTGAGGTAGATATTTAAAGTAGTTTTCACTAAGTTGTTAACTTAGAGCTTTTTTGAACATTTATAAGTTGACATGAGTTATAATAATTAAAAAAAATATTAATTTTAAATCAAGATTCATACTTGATATTATTGTCACATTCTTTCTTTAGAATTTAATCTTGATGTTGCATAATATTATATTCCAATCAAAAGGAATCTAACATCATATACCTGACTTACATCAGTTTCCATTAGGTCAGTCATTAAAGTAAGTCTCCTGTATGACGTTGCTACTTCTTATAACATAGTAAAAAAAGTACAGGTTTTATTGTCTAATGCTTAATGGGATTGAGAGGACCTACCAAATTAACATTTACTTTTTATATTAATATATTTATAGCATATGTATACAATATAAAAACCCATGACATTAACATTATCATCTAACTATTCAGGTATCCTTGTTATCTTTTATAAAATTTTACATTACATAAATATGAAACTCAATATATCAATAACAATGAATTTCCATTCATACTATAGTTAATATTAGAGTTGTATTATGACGTCTCAAATGTATCGAGAGACAAGGCATAAGGATTCTGTTATAATTTCTAATTTTGCAACCATAAAAAAAAATCAATCCTATATGATAAACATTCACTGTAAATAATGATATTTATGACTCACCATTTACTGCAAATATTACACATGACGACTGTAGCCGGGTCATGAATACCACAATATTTACAAGCATGATCAGGCAGTTCCTTGCTGCTATATAGAGCTTCGTCTTCCTCTTCAAATTGTAGCTCGGCTATTGCATTGGTTACGCTAGAAACCTTAGAAGTCAACTCGGAACGGCTCAGACCATTCACCTAAAAGCAGATTATCAACGTATGACACATCTAATTCGATTTGGATTAAGGTTAAACAAGCAAACAAAATATGGAGTAAACACACGTAGTGTTATAACTTGCCTGATTAGAACTTGTTAGACCGTGATCATGCTGTGATGCTTGAGTCTGGCTTTGGGATGGAAGAGTAAAGTCGGTAAACTCAAATTCCGAGCCCTGTGTGTCAGCTCCGATAAGATCTGCTTCTTCAGTGTCCAAAAATGTGAGTGTTTGTGAGCTTGGTCCGTACGCGTCAACGCTCATATTTACGTTGTATAATTTTACGAAAAAAACAAAGAAAATATGTCAAAAAGAATAAATACAGGCCAGTTAGAAGAAACTCCCATAACAGCCACGCAATATTATATCAAACGACTCGTGAAGGACGTCAGAAAATCGCCATGTTAGCACATGGTTTGTTTCCGTTTACAAACGGAATTCTTATTGGTTATTTACTATACGTCATTAATCAAACCAATCATAATCTTAATAAAAATGACTTTTGCAAAATTAACCAATGACATTAGAGATCGTTACATAAAAAAAAAAAAAAAAGAAATGGATGTAGACATGAATGGTTTTTTTACTGACATAGATTCCGAGGAATTAATAAAAAAAAAAAGATGCGACTAAAACAAAACTATAAAAATGTTCTCTGTTCAACAAAGACTTTGAACATGTTTGAAATCAGTAATTCTGAGTATTTAAAAAACACGTTCCTTTCCATTATCTTTTTTATTTGTGGCATTTTAGGCAACACTAGCCTTTTGATAAAAAGAAAAATAATAGTAGTTGTTAGAATATAGTATGTTTTTTAATCTCCGAGACTCAATTGATATATATGTGGAAATTACAAATTATGTACGTAACGTATATACCGGTTGTAGCAAACTAGTGCTGTATCTGTACCTACGATGCTGATTTGTTGATACGTATTTCCATTACTGTTTTTGTATTAAATAACCCAAAAATACATTTTTGTACTTTCCATACATGTAGTAATTTTTATGATATTAAACCACAAGCCTATATTTTTTTCCATGAAACTGCAAAATTTTTTAAATAGGTATATTTTGTTTGTGTTGTAAAAAAGACAGGTTTTAGTTGTAAAAAAAAAACAGTTTTAATACAACAACGTTTATTAATACTTATACTTTATTAATTTTGTGTTAATGAGTGTTACGTACGTACGTTATAAAACGGTAATTAATATTAATTTCTGATTATACCGTTGTCAGAATTGCCAAAAGCTGGGAACATAGGTAATATTATATTTATTTCCGAATTTAAAAAAATGTGTATTAATAGTCTAAGTAAAACACAGACTTCCGGTACAAATCTATGTTAGTGGCTGTATGAGCTGAGTTCTTTTGCCTTTTGATATGACTGGAAAATCCAAACAAAAAAAAGGTAGTGTATAGAGAAAGGGAAGAGTAGTATTGGAAACTAATAATCGTATTGCTATACCATGTCGGCTGACTGAACCTTTCTCTGAGATAGTTCTCAGAGAAAGGTTCAGCCTTTCTTTCAGCCGTGACTAATTTCTGGTAAATTTGTTACGATGTTAACTGACCCTGACCTGATATCTCGCTATCATCCTATACCATTAGCGTAAAATAGCGAGTTTTACCTTAAAAAATAGTATGTACATAGAAATGTAATGAATCTGCGTATTCGCAAAATGAACGACGAATGCTGTGTCAACATTAACGTTCAAAAATGAAGGTTAAGTTGCAATAATTATGAAACTTTTAATTTTTACTAAGAAATCTTTATTATTGTAACATAACATTGTCTCAAAATCAGCGATTTGCCTTTTCCGATTAGCTCGGCAACAGTCAGAAGGATGAAATATGGATGGGTGCGTGTCGCACAGTAAGTTAGTTGTCAAACATTGATATGACTAACAAATGACGCCAAACATAAAGAATAATATTCGCGACTATAGGGGCAGGTATTAGCGTTTGATTTCGCAAAATGCTTAAAAAATATATTCGTTACATAACTAGTAGGTAGGTATGTCTGCGGGTTTGGTAATAAACTTCGCTGAAGATATTATGTACCTTCCGCGTAACCAAATGCGGCTATTGGAGCATGCGTACTCTTGGAGATTATTTATTTTGGTATGATCCCAAAACATCGGACACTGATTTAAAAAAAAATAGGTCAACTATCGACCGCCAAATGGCAGAAACATTCATTGCGTGTTAGTTTAACGGGATACCATTTCATTACCTATATTTTTAATGGATGTAAACGGAATGGTACATTTGCCTGCGCTAACGGTATACGGTGGCGGGTCAGCGAGAGGAAAATGATAGGATAAGCATGACATCAGATAGCACCAGGATTTGACCAACATAGTTTTCTGGGGAAATTGAGCGGATGTCTACCTAATATGCATGGTGGCTTGCTAGCAATGGTGGCCCTATTGCTGCCCTCTTCCTCCTTACTATTTTCTTTTCTCCTTGTTTGGTATTTTGTTATAGTAAGGGCAGTGAAGAGGAAACGCGGGCGTTAAAGATTACTGCTATCTCTGAGTGCCAAGCATATCCTATAGAACAGAGAAGTAAGTTACTTCTCTGTTCCGTTAGTTAACACATCACTTTTAAATGGTATGTGTATGTCTCCGTATATGCTCACTCTCCCGCCCCGTATTTCCCCAAACAGAACAAATGGGCCCATTGATCGGTCTAATTATACCTACAGATAAACAACGGAAATAGTGATTGTATATTCCCATGTTTTCACCTTCAAATCTGAATGAATTTGAATGATTTCATTGACTATACTTGAATACCTTTGACTATGTCTGAATGTGTAATTTTGACAGACGTCTTATTGGTCGGTTTAAAATAACCAGGCGGTTACACCAGTCTATTATTATGTATTAAAAAAAAACTAAGCATAATAACGCTTAAAGTAACTCAGTTGATTTTATTTATTATATTATCAACATATATCAACATGTATATTGTGGCGACATTAGTACAATTTGTAAAATAAATTACATAACTTATTATTCATATAACCACTAGAGAGTCTGTGCTCAAGTCACCATTTACATATTAGTTTTTTAAGTAGGTACTACAGTACAGTTAACAGAATATTATTTCGGACTATTATACTGTTGGCAGCAGCTACTACATTGAATGCTAAGTATAAGATGTAATATTATCTTATCTGTGGTCTATACGATTTAAAAAAATAAGTTGAAAAGGTGAGATTGAAAGGTGCTCTGTCTGGCTTTGTACGAAGTTTGCTTAGGTTGAAGTATTAAGAAATTATGTCAGATTTAGGTAATATTAAATTTCAATGACAAGGTTGAATCGAAAAAACAAAGCAAGATACCATTCTGTTAAGCACTTTTTTTTGTAATGTATTAAGTTTTTAAATATTTACTTACACTTCTTGCTTCCCATAACTAAATCCTTTTTTTATTTTTGGCTATAGGGTATAAGTAGGTAGGTACCTACCCTATAGTCAAAAATATAAAAAAGAATAAGGTATAAAAAAAAAATATCAGCTGTTATGACAAGTTACCTTTGTCACGTATTCATGAATTAACAAACAAGTAACAAAATGAAAATCATTTCAAAAGTAGTAAAATAAATTGAAATTCAATATTGCAATAAATTGTATCTCCGGCTAATAAAATTTATAATTCGTTTTTTATTACCTAAATATACAGTACACCACAAATTGGAATATTCTTACACAGTACCTACAAATGCAAGAAAATTGCATTTACTTCTAATTTTGATGCGCGCGGTTTGGCGTTCAGCCAGTTATATACATATCTTCAAAGATTTCCGTTTATTATGTTTTTTTACTGCGAATACATAAACATTAATTACTCACAGGATATCTTTTTCAATTTACGTAAATAACACTAATCGAATATTAATTCTATAAGGCAGTGGCTCATAAATTAAGTGTCGCAACGCTTCGATCGGGTTTATAAGTCGTGTTCTATTCCCCGATTTGAAAACTTAAATGCAGAAAAGCAAGTTCATTGCGTCATGTATGTACTACATTTTCTTATAACTTTTTATAACAATCGTTTGTGGAAAATAATCTACACTGAGGACCAATTCTTTAAACCAGAGTCGTTTAAATTTAATATGTGAAAGTTTGGGAAGGTTCCCAATCTTTCTATAAATTAGAAGACAAACAGTAAGGAACTTTAAAATTAGAAGTTAAGATTCATATATTTTAAAATAAAAAAAAGCTATTCTTAATTTTGACAGGTAAATGTTTACTAAAGTAAGATTATTAATTCCAGTCAGTAAAATAACATTTCCAGTGTTGCAGGTTTTTAGTCCCAAATAAATAGTGATGTGGTAGAATCGAGTTTTTACAATTAAAAGTTAGTCGAGATTACACTTTTTTTATTCAATATCAAATTGCCTTTATACAAATAAAAAAAAATTCCCAGCTTTTGTAATAATGTTATAGTGAGAAATTGTAATATGCTGGCAAGGTCCATATTTCTAAAATCGTATTGTTTAATACGATATATATTAAATATTTAAAATTAAAAAAAAGTCTTCGATACCTAATAAAATAAAGCATGACTAAATGTCTAAGTCTATTGATTGCCGCACATCACTATTGTAGCGGGTCACCCTTTTTTATAACAGTGATAGTTGCACTTGTTATTTTACTGACTGGAATTAATAATCGTATTTTAGTACAGATATGATAATACATTTAGGAACCTATTGTCTGGTAGGTATAGGTATCTGTGCTAGTAGTAAGAATCTACCTTTTTTTTATAAACGATTTGGAGTTTGTTTTGTTTTCATTATTGTAGGTACGTTTTTACTTAGATGGATATGTGGAGTATTTGTGTTAAAACTAATAAAATAAACTAATAAGTCAATAGCCCTAATAATCTTAACTAATTGAAGCGTCTACGAGGAGAGGACTTCGTTGGCAGAGATATCTGATTTATATCTCTATTGCGTCTTAATTTTTATAAACACTGCTTCTCATAAATCAATTGCTGACAATCATAAAGCTTCGGTTTATTACTTCAAACGCAAAGTATATCCCTAAGAAAACATCAATCACAATCGCCACAAAGGCGCCTGTAAAGCCATAAAACAATAGCACCCTCCATGACATTTTATGTTTCGTTGATGCATCGTATGTACTTAGGCAATAATAAAAACAAACTCATGTAACATTCCCAGACATAACTGTTGGTCATTTTTATTTTATACTAGCTAACCCGCGCAACTTCGTCTGCGTCACACTTACATATATGACATTTATTATTATATTCGCCCAATTTATATAATATCTTATAAAATTATAGCCTATGTGTTATTTTGATGCATAAGCTACTGTAAAGTTTCATAAAAATCCGTTCAGTAGTTAAAGAGTAAAAAACATCCATCCATACTCACAAACTTTCGCATTTATAA